TATTTGATATTGATTCCTCTCATATCATGAGTATTATATTTTAGTGATGTTCAACTTCCACCGAAGAAGTTGTTGGGTAATAAAGATCCTGTGTTTCTACTCAAGCGTCGAAAGGTATAATTCAGAAATGTAAAAAGTATATTTTGATAGGCCGATAATTCCTGAAAAAATTATCAGTGGTTAGAAAACCTGCTAACATTTATCTTAATCATTCAGATTTTTTATTAACCAATCGGGATTAAGGATATCCCATTCCGGATTTTCATGGTTAATATTGGTCGATTTCGGAATTTGATTAGAAAAAACTGAGAGTCTCCACTAAAACCAACCAAGGTCGGTTTTATTTTGGGCCTAACTCCGTAGTCGAGTCGAAGATCTTGCAGCGCCAATCACGTGACACAAGCTGTTGTCAGAGTTGGGTCTAAGATTGAGGCTTAAACCTGGGTTTTATGAATGATAACTCGAGCACAAGCTTTAATTCGCGGGCTCAGGCCCAGTTTAGTACAAGATATTTATATATTCTTTATTTGTTTGTTTGTAATCGTCAAACGTCAGAACGGTTGAACGAATTTGAATTCGTCTAAATCCACGATAAAAAAATTGATAAAAGAGCTACAAATAAAAGTAAGATGGGCACGAAGCGCCCTGGAAGCAGTGTTTAGGATCCATTTACTTTTGATGAGGATCCAGGTCACGAACATTTCTTTAAGATTTAATGAATTTTTTTTAACAAAGCTGAGTTGTCAAATTATTTTTCTTCATTTTTCGCTTATTTTCATGCTAAACTCAATGAACCATTCAGAGATCAGGAATTTTCTTTTTTTTCTACAGTTTAGAGTAAACGTTTTTTTTCTCAGTTTTTAGTTGATATTTTGCTCTTTGGAAGCCTAATATCTGAAAAAGTTAGTGGTGTAAGTGTTTAAAGCGCCAATGGCTTTAATCCGTTGATTGAACTGAAATGAAGAGATAACGCATTAATCCTCAAATTTTAAGTCCCTGCCGCAGTGGATATCGACATCAAGCGATGCAAACACATAAGTTCCCAGCTCTGAACATTTCAAGAAATATGTTATTTTCCCATTTTAAAATTATACAATTCTTAGTTACAGTAAAATTCGACATTAATTCTACTAGCTGTACAATGTACAGCGCTGTTTAAAGCAGAGTGATCTCATTATATTGTTTTTAGGACTTAGAATCCTATCTGCAGAGTACATTCCACTTCCTGTCTAGAAACCTTCCATTTTATAATTTGCCCCTTTCAATTGAAACGTTTAAATAAGTCACTTTTTTGTTTTGTTGAACTTTTGCATTTTTATTTGATTATATATTATCAGCCTAGAAACCTTCCTGCTTCTTTAGCAGAATTCTTGGACTTGTACAAGGTGACGCCTTTTATAATATACGAGTTGAGCATGAATTTTAAATTTAAGCTAAAAGCTAGTCGTGATTTTGTCCTTTAAAACTAAATGGAATCAAACAAGATGAAAATCCATTACAAATAGCTGACTTCATTCACTCAAAGAAAGTCTTCCGATGACTTAAATAGGTAAAAGGTACAAGCTACCACCAAACAAAGTTTAAAGATTTCAGAACTGTTGTTTTATATGTAAAATTGTTTTGAGATTCACACACATTATCTGTGTGGACATAAAATAGCATAAATGAATATTTTTTATTCCTCCATTTTTTAGTACGATGTCGATTTCATTCTTCACAATCTGGCGAGTCAAGCATACCAAAGGTAACATTTTTATAGCGTGACGAGACCAGTGATCACCGTCCTATAATACAGAGCTGTGAAGGGACATAAATCTTTTTTTTGGGAGGGGATTTTTATATGTTAAAATATGATATATTCGGCTTTATTTTATTACCAGCGGGCAAAGAGAGTTTTTTTATCGACGGGGGTTGGCTAATAGCTAGTGTTAGCAGTAGTTATCATTATTTTTAATTTTAGAGAGTTAGATCTGAGCATTATAAATATTGAAGAGGATTCTCCTGATGGTGATATATCCACTCATCCAGTCATTCATTCAACAACCCTTCCACCCACTCAATCAAATATCACTTCATTCACTCCACTAGGTAAAATTTAGTGGGTTTGTGTTGCATATTTTAAAGAATGATTTTTGAAGATCTCGCCGCTTCTCGCTGCTGGGGAAAAAATTGTTTTCTAAAAAGGGGGGGGGGTATATTTTCCAGAACATTTACCCCCGGGTCAGAGCTCCATAAATCATTTCCTAGCTTATTTGCGCCTTTTCATAATCTATACGTCTAAAAAAAGGGGGGGGGGGTATATTTTCCAGAAAATTTACCCCTGGGTCAGAGTTCCATAAATCATTTCCTAGCTTATTTGCGCCTTTTCATAATCTATACGTCTAAAAAAAGATTAGCATAGCTAATCGTTCGTTCAAAATATTTATAAGAAAAATAGTTATTCTTGATATTTTAAACATTTTTTATTCTTAATTATAACTACGACTGTTCATAGGAAAAGTGTTAATTGTCTCTAAAAGTGCTTGACTTCAATATTAAATGGGATGCATAATGGATATGTATGAGTGATGATGAGCTTGTTTCATTTTCTAGAACCTAACCTTAAAACATCACAAAATAATTGTTGACATCTAATTCATGTATTGTCGATTATCATTATTTAGAACACACTGTTAACATTGCTTTTAAAGGCTATCTTTGAGTTACTAAAATAAAGTTTGAGACTGAACCTGCGCAAGGGGTGTAACTGGTTCAGGACACTGCACCGGTGTGAAACGTCCTCTGTTCTAACATTATATTGACCCTTGTTTAAAATTTCAGGTTGGTGAATCTATTTGTTGGGATGTAAAGAAGAGATACAGCGAGTTTGTCTCACTGCACGATAAACTCGCCGAGGAGGGAGTGGAAAGGTACAATTTTTTTTGTATTTACAAAGTTGGAACGATTAATGTTTTAAGTTTTACATTCCCCCCCTCCCCGTATTTATGTCAATTTAAAGACACCCAAGCAAAGCTCGAGCTTTAACTTTGAAGGTAATTTCAAGTGACCCTCCATGCTAAGGGAATGCCCATTTATAAACGACACTCTTTTGCTTGATTGATCATCTCGACGACAAAGAACTTTGTTTAAGAAAAACGCAAGAAAATATGTTTTTCCACGACTAGTGGACTGTGAATATAAATATTTCTTGACTGTAAACAAAGTTATCAATAATTACAAGCGTATAAATCATTTCCTAGCTTATTTGCGCCTTTTCATAATCTATACGTCTAAAAAAAGATTAGCATAGCTAATCGTTCGTTCGAAATATTTATAAGAAAATTAATTATTCTTGATATTTTAAACATTTTTTATTCTTAATTATAACTACGACTGTTCATAGGAAAAGTGTTAATTGTCTCTTAAAAGTGTTTAACTTCAATATTAAATGGGATGCATAATGGATATGTATGAGTGATGATGAGCTTGTTTTATTTTCTAGAAATGTTCAGTATTAGCCAAAGATTGAAACATCCATGCCCGCCCTCGGATCCGGATTCTAAAAGGTAAACTAAGGAAGAAGGTTGTTTGGAAACTCCCATAGATGAAACCAACACCGTAAGGGGAGTTCCGTGGCTTAATGAAAAGCGTCGCTAGTTACAGTACTGGGGACGGGGGTTCAAACCCTCGTTCTAAGATTACAACTAAAATTGCAATCTTGAACATCTTGCTTGCTCCCAGCATTCCTACCGATGATATTAAATTACAGTCGTTGTCTGAGGTCATTACGTTTAATGATATAACATGCAAACTGAAAACACTAAAATAGGCCAGAGTGATGTAATAATTGAGAAGGTTCGATGAAGTATGCGGGTCCCAAAAATACTTCACATATTTTCATGTCCATATTCACAATAACAAAAACGACATAATTATGAAGTTTTTAAAGGAAATGTCGAGTAGTTCTGTGCGTTTCTGTCCCTAATCTAGCCAGTTAAAAATTTTTTGGTAAAAAATTATTTTTAATTTAAATAAAAGTATTGACGTAATTTTACTTGGCCACCAATTATTAGTAATAAATTTAACATATAAATATTAAATTTAAAAGGATGGAATAAGATCTACAGATGAATTTGTTAGGTTTGATTTTACGAATGTTGTTGATGAGTGCTGTAGGCTGGAATCTCTGAATGTTGTTGGCTCCAACAACAACCTTGGAGCCAGCAACATCGTTCCCAACGATCTTCAATTCGACTTCTTAGGAAAAATATTAAAACAAAACCATACTATTTTCCAGACATTTCCCCACTATTCCTTTAGTTTTGTATTTCAATTCTATTTCACTCAATTTTTCCTTATTTCTTCTATCTTGTACCAAACCATATATAGAAAATTAGGATGTTTTTGAAAAATATTTAGTTTTTGAAAATATCTAAGATTTATTTTTTAAATCCTTTAATCGCAACGAACTATTTTATTTAGTCTTGTTCCAACAAAGGCCGAATTTAATGAATTTGAGCCGCTTGCTTAAATTTGAGACGCGGCCCAAATATAAAATTGTATTCAATTTTTCAATTTTTAAGCCAACTCCCAATTGAAACCGGGTTTTGGTGGATTTGAGACGCGGTTCAAATTGATTAAATTCGGACTCAATTGTACATATTTCCTAGATTAACTTCCCCTCCCTTAAGATTTTATATCAGAACTACCTACATATATTCTAATATGGTTGCTTACTTGATTGGGGTTGTCTTAAATATTTAGAATTTTAGCGTTTAAAAGTTTGAGAAAACTTGTTCTTGAGAATATACGGTTTGACTCTGAGCACATCACTTCTCTAGGCATTCTTAGGTAACAAGTCAGTTTTATCCTAATAACAGGGGTATGTCATTTTGAGAATTATCCCTTTGCCCTCTCCCCAAGAAAAAGTTTACTATAACAAATGAAAATTAAACAAATTTGCAAGTTTTTTCATCCTTTCTGATACTTGGAATTCCCTGTTCAGGAATTATAACCCTAAAAAAGTTTTGGCCCTCGACAAAAAAAATTGTTTTAAAAAGTATACACACCGAATTCTCTTTATTTAACCCTCGGATATAGATACAGACGATTAAAGATGAACTATTCTGTTTTAACGTGTAATACTTAAATGTATACAACAAATAGAAGAATTATAATGGTCTTGATTTTCTATTTTGTTTTGTAAATTTTGTTTGTATAGGAACACACTAATGGAGTTAACAATAAAAGAATCCGGAGTTAAAACCATTTCTGAAATACTTCTGTGTGATACTGCATACAATCCTGCAGGTAGGATTAATATAGGAACAAGGGCGTATACAGGAATATGTCAAGGAGGAGTTAAATATGTAGAACTATTTCACAGGGGGTTGGGTTTGCTCCTTTTCCCCCTCTCGTGGCTCGTTATTCAAATGACATCATTCAAATGAAAGTTTTATTTTTATGGAATGTAAAATTTCTATATGCATAAATTTACTATAATTTTTAACCATCACTAGAAATCATTTACACCTCTGGGGTTAAACACTTTTTTCCCTAGAATTTTATAATTTGCCCCTTTCAATTGAAACGTTTAAATAAGTCACTTTTTTGTTTTGTTGAACTTTTGCATTTTTATTTGATTATATATTATCAGCTTTGTTATTTCAGCTTATTTATTCATGAATTTTTCTTATCAACTGATGCTGAACCTGGCTGTTTTACTTACCCGCTGACGTAATTATCAGCTGATTTATCCATCAGTTCATGTATTTATCAGCTATATGGTTAACAACTTAATCACTTTATCACTTTACATTTGTATATTTAGATCTTAACCTAAGTGGAGCTCACATGTGGCCGAATCTTCTCTGCTTAGGGAAACACTCCATTCAACTAAAAATCGAAAAAAAAATATTAAAATTAAAAATGAACTGATCGGGCCCAATGTCCAACTCACGGCCGTAGGGAAGTTTAATGGACAGCAAAAAGGAAAAATTGGGTCTAGAAAAAATTTTGACACATAAGTTTTAAATCAACCAAAATTTTAACAGAAATCAGCGGAAAATGTTGTTTCTTGAGTTAACGATAAAAATTGGCTGTTAAAGAATAAGTTAGAAAATCTAAAACTTTTACTGCAAACTTTCGAAGCCATAATAAAGGGGAATTGAAATTTCACCAGAAAAATTGATCGATTGGCATTACTGACATGCAGGGACATATTTGGGTCCATTGCATATTGCGGTTGATGGAAGGCTGTAAAACTATAATTTTTATTTTAAAATTCTTTCACATATTTTAATGGATGTTATGGTTTGTATAGATTTGAGTGACAATAAAATCACTGGACTGGATCGATCAATTCGATACGCACCAGCAATAGACACTCTAGTGTTAGACAATAATACAATAGACAGCTTAGGTAATAATATAACAAACAACGTAGGTAAATAGACACTAGTGCTAGACAATAATACAATAGACAGCTTAGGTAATATACAGTATACATCCTAATATTAGACGCAATAGACAGTTAAGGTAAAAATACAGTTACACCCTAATATTAGACAAGAATACAATAGACAGCTAAGGTAAATATACAGTTAACACCCTAATATTAGATTAGACAATAATACAATAGACAGCTTGGGTAAATGTACAGTATACTCCCTAATATAAGACAATAATACAATAGACAGCTAAGGTAAATATGCAGTTTACATCCTAATATAAGACAATACAATAGACAGTTGAGGTAATACAGTTAACACCCTAATATTAGACAATAATACAATAGACAGCTATGGTAAAAATACAGTATACACCCTAATATAAAACAATAATACAATTTAAGTAAAGATTAAAAATTAAGGACAATTAAAAATAAATGGACGAAATCAAAAATAAAAATTTACGGAAGAGCATGAAAGGACAAAATAGTATTTTTAATATTTCATTAATATTAAGATAATTTGACTGGACTACCAAGATTACGCCGCCTTTCTCTTGTTAACAATAACTTAACTATTACTCAGGTTGGTACTAATTATTCATTGTCTGTTCAAGCTCCAGGGGTGTATATTTTCTAAAAAAACCATCCCCCACCCTCTTTGAAAAACATTTGTTACCGTAGAAGGAAAAAGATTAGTGTTAAGTTCGCTGAATCGGGAAAAACTAGTTTTATTTTAAATTATCCACAGACAACAAACAGTGATTCCTCATAACTTGGCACTCCTGTCCTGCCAGGGATGTATATTTCTGGAAAATAATTATTATTATTATAAAGATTTATTCACACACAAAGATATAAATACATATAAATGGTGTAGTTAAAATTTGTTTAAATAAATTTTTTGAAAATACAGGTTTCCAAAAGAAATATGCAAAATTATGCACAAATAGAAAACATTGATTTTTACTCACTACATAACATATTTATCATTTCAGTTATTACGTAATCATCGAATCCTTCAACATATAAATTATTCATTCTTGTACTTAAAAGTTCTTGTAAAACCGGAACTTTCCATTCATGTTCCAATGGGACATAAAAAAATATTTCATTTGTTTCTTAACTAACATTTTACAAAGATCAGAAGGATTTACAGAACAATCATTTGCAATACAAAATAAATTTCTGCCAAGAACTGTGTTGAGGTCATTTTTACATAAATTAGAAAGAAATTTAATGCAAAGCTTAGAACTGGCTTCAATAGTCTCATAGAAAGACACACATCTGCTAGCTAACATAGTTTTTACATGTAAACATTGTGAAATACTTTCAATCAAGTACCTATGCGTATTAAGGGGGATGAGACGCGGCCCAAATGTAAAATTGTATTCAATTTTTCAATTTTTAAGCCAACTCCCAATTGAAACCGGGTTTTGGTGGATTTGAGACGCGGTTATCAATAGTCTCATAGAAAGACACACATCTGCTAGCTAACATAGTTTTTACATGTAAACATTGTGAAATACTTTCAATCAAGTACCTATGCGTATTAAGGGGGAAATAAGTTTATTTTTGGGTAAAATGTATCAAAGAATGAAAAATCTTGCCATTTGATGTCAAAACTTTTCCGTTTTTTTTTCTCCAGAGCATCAAATTCCAATTCAGAAAAGTATTAAGCCCTGGAAGAATAATAAAATATTGATAAAAATATTATATCTTTTTATTTGTGTTATTGATAATAATAAAATAATATTAAAGGATCTTCACACTGTACTGGGACAGATAACTCACATAGATCTGAGTCGAAACAATATTTCTTCCCTTCATCCATTCAAGAAATTATACTCACTGCAGGTCCACACTTTATATTGATTGACTTCTTTAACAAATTTTTACGTTTTAGTTGACTTTTTTAAAGATGGAGTGATTGACAGATTGAGACTTCGACTTCTTGATCAATTGATTAGATGACATTAAAATGAAGGACGACAAACTGATGTACTAATTGACTGATGAACTGATGGACTGATGGACTGATGGACTGATGGACTGATGGACTGATGGACTGATGGACTGATGGACTGATGGACTGATGGACTGATGAACTGATGAACTGATGAACTGATGAACTGATGAACTGATGAACTGATGGACTGATGGACTGATGGACTGATGGACTGATGGACTGATGGACTGATGGACTGATGAACTGATGAACTGATGAACTGTAGGATCTGAACGTAAGTCACAACCAAGTTGAGGATCTGGATGAAGTATTTATTGTGTGCTCCCTTCCTTGTCTGGATAATCTCAACCTGGGACATAACAAGGTTAACAACAAGGTATGAATCTACCGATCTAAACTATTCTGGTCCTGCGTACACGCAATTTTGTGGGTGTGCTTCACACCTGTTTTATCAGAAGACCTTAGATTTTTTGGGAAATTTTTAAACCTCAGAAAAAGTCAGAGAAGAGGTTTGTTAGATGTTGGGTCCTGGAGTAAGCAGAAATAATATATCGTACCTAAAATCTTGTAAATATAACACTGCCTCCTAAGAATTGGGTAGCATCTAATCTTGTACCATAAAAATTGACTGATCTATTCAGAAATTTGTCTAAAATTCAAATATTATTTAAAATATAACTAAGGTTGTTTAAATATTTAGTATCTCCGACAATTTTTATGAAACAAAGAAGGAGGCTAAATTTTGTCAAGTTTAAAAACTCTCAATGATTTCTTTACTCCTCTGACAACTATTAACTTTACGAAAACCAAAAATAGATTTTTAACGTACTGCATGACACCCCAGCTCAGCCTTAAAAGTACATCAAACCTTGACTATGATATATCCATTCTATTATGGATTCCTAGTAAGAAAATATATATTAAATTGCCTCCTCCACATTATCCTCCCCCCCCCCCTCCCTCTTTCCACTTCCCTCCCTCTATTCCACTTCACTCCCTTTATCCACTTACCTCACTCTATTTCACTTCCCTCACTCTATTACACTTACCTCACTCTATTAAACTTCCCTCACTCTATTAAACTTCCCTCACTCTATTAAACTTCCCTCACTCTATTTCACTTCCCTTACTCTATCACTTCCCTCCCTTTATCCACTTACCTCACTCTATTTCACTTCCCTCACTCTATTTCACTTCCCTCACTATATTCCACTTCCCTCACTTTATTTACCCTCTCTTTATTTTCCCCTCACAATATACACTTCCCTCACTCTATCCCACTTTCATCATTCTATCCCACTTCCCTCATTCTATCCCTCTTCCCTCACTCTATCCCACTTCCCTCGCTCTATTCCACTTCCCTCCCTCTTTTCCACTTCCCTCCCTCTGCTCCACTTACCGCCCTCTATTCCACTTGCCTCCCTCTTATCAACTTACCGCCCTCTACTCCACTTTTCCTTAAAAAACCAATCCCGTTCCTTAGAATTTTAGGTGGAAAAGTGGGTTTATGCATTTGCCTTCTTCGAAAAGCGATATCTCTTTTAAATATATGCATGTATTTATGATTCAAAATATGATCATTTCTATTTTTCAAGGTCGACTACAGACTGAAAACATTAGAAGCCATCGGAACAAGGTATGAAATAGTAGGAGTCCCGAAATTAAGGGAGGGGGGGGTGGCTTTCGAATTTTAATTTTCAATCTTGTTACCATTCACCCAATAGGAGATTATGATAGCAGAATTTGTACTTTAGGTTACCATTATTCTTAAAACTTCACCTTCTCTTAATTCTTCTACTTCTGTGGTGATTCTCAGTAGTACCGGTGGGAACTTTATGAGAATTTCTGCCAGGCAATGAACTCTTGATCAAGACATATGCAAGGCTGGATTTAGATAGCATCAACATTCCTTGTGCATAGATAGTTTTCTTAGTTTATTAAGTGTTTGTTTTTATTCAGATGTCGAGAGATCAGATTAGACGGAGAAATGGCAACTCAAGCAGAATTAGATAAGGTTAATTTAATATTTTTTATTATCTTTTCTGTCAGATTGCCAAACTGGCAATTAAAATTTTTTTAGATATGACTACATGATTATATAACTTTTTTCTGTGAGAAACTTCTCTTGAAGTCGGTGGCGTCTAGAAGGCCTCAAATCACTCTAGATAATTTAATGGTTTTTATTAAAGATAAAAGTAAAAAACCGACGTTAGCAAAAATGTTAGCCTTAGTTTAATTGACAAACTTCGTGGCAAAAATGTCCTATTTTAAGATGTCAACATCAAAGATTAATTTATTAAATAGGTAAAACTTTCGAACTTTTGATAGGTTAGTGTGCTGATGGCTCTACGCGTGACACGGGAGAAACGGTGTCCAACCTCATTGTTTGGAAATCTTCCAAACTCAGAACAGTGGCAACTCTAGCTTATCTACTCTCTTCCCTCTCTCAAAACAACTATAAATCTGACCCATAACCAACCCCCTCTTGAAACGTAATACTCCAAAAAGTCAAATTTTGTTATTCTTAAAATTTCAACTAAATTTTTTAGACACGCATTTACTGCATAACAATTTTTATGTATGACACAATTACGCATTTATTAAGTACACACGTGTTTAAACTAGTAAAAGTAGATATTGAATCTGTACCTAAAATACCTGGATAGGGGATATAGAATTTATTTTAACCAGAATCATTTTCATTAAAATTAGTGTTTGGATCGTTACTCATACTTGTTATTTCCAATCCAGCTATTGTTTTTCTCGTGTACAGTGTACAGTGTACAGTGTACATTGTACAGTGTACACCACCTTTAACATGAACTAACCAAGGTTGTTAAGTAAAGTTGTTTTCCCTTGTTGCGCTCCAACGTACGGAAAATGACGACTCCAAAGCAATGTACATTGGACAGTTAAAATCCGTAAATGACGTCACAATTTGTGAGCCTTGGGGAGACGGTTTGCGGGAACAGGAAGAAACCGGTCCAATATATTCAAATCGTGGCGTCAATTACGGATTTTAACTGTCCATTGCTTTAGAGACGACATTTCCCGACCATTAGAGTGCATCGAAAGTAAGCAACCGTACAAAACAACCTTGGTACAAATTAACTTAAATACTCACAATATCTATCTATGACATCTATTATGTTTAAATTTTAATGCTGTTGGTTTAATGTAATTGCGTTTTATTACATGAGTATTTATTTGAAAAAATATCGTTTCCAAAAAATCACCCCCTCCCCACAATTTAGCGAATATAACCAAGAAATACATACAAAATTTTTCGGGTAAAAACGATCAAAAAGGGGGAAAGTTTTTAGGAAAATATAAATCCCTGTTTTATCTCAAAAACATATTGATAGTTGATTTTAAATTTTTATTTATTAGGTTTTATAATAGTAACAAATATTTTTTTTAGTTTTTCCAAATGATGAATTGTCACAAATTAAAAAAAAATTTATTGTAATGAAATACTCAACATTCCTTGGTCAGTTACTTTCTACTGATCTTAGAATTTATTTTGTACTTATATTATATTTTGCGTTGAAGTTGAAATTTAATTGTTTGTTTCTAAATGATGTAAAAGTAACTTCTTTTTCTCCGAGAATTATTTTATTACCTCGTGTTCTTTTCTAAGAACTGTTTTCATGCCAATTAAATCAGCTTTAATTCTAGTGTAGCGGTTATCTAATTGGCATAATTCCTGTGAATCGTCAAAATAACTTTCGTATATCAATAGTGAATCGGCAAGCCAAAGGTTTCATGGCAAATATTTAAAACATTTTCGTAATTCCTTTACAGAATTTTTTTTATCATTCATGAAGAAACAATCAATTGCATATAAAATTTGATCAAAGTTTATGTAAACGTACAGTATATGTTAAATATATTATATATATTGCAGATATTACGATGGCCGCCATTTCTATGCTAAACCCCAAGGCTGAGATCGCCAGAGCCTCCCAGGCTCTAGCGGTCAATATGTCCGGAGCAAAGGTGAACATTGATTAATTAAAGGGGTTGTTCGATTCCCAACCAATCTTTAAAAGCTTCGTTTATTTGCTTGTTGAGATATCTATGCCTGTCTCTCAAAAATTAAGTATTTTAAAATTTGGGTGCTTTATAACATCGAGTTGCGGATCTTAGCTACAGAACTGGGATTATTTCGTTCATTAGTTGGTCTTTTAATTTATTTATTTAAATATTATCTTATACATGTAAATTATATTTTTTTAATCCTGATTGTGAAGGTATATTTCTATATTTGTATATTATGTGCAGGGTCTGCAGGAGGTTCTGAAGACCAATCTTGGTCCTAAGGGAACCATGAAGATGTTGGTTTCTGGGGCTGGAGATATTAAGATTACCAAGGTAAACCGTCAAATTTATTCACAATATTTAATTAAGTATGAACTAATGACAACTTCTAATCCAAGTTAATATTATTTCATGTATTTTAAATTCTAATATCTTGAATTTAGTGCTTCCAACGGATCCGCATCCGGATCCGTTGGATTCCTGGATCCGTTTCCTCAAAAATATGCGAATCCACGGATCCGGACTCAAGGGTTTTAAATTTCAACCAAAAATTGCAACAAAACTGTGTTTTTCTCTCATCTCAAATCTGAACTAATGCAAAAAGAGAGATTATCGAAAATGTCCTTATCTCTGAATAGTGCATGAACTTGTTGCATAAGAATAAGTGAAAAGAGGGAAGAAAAATAATTTGAAATTTCATCTGTAAATCTTGAATAAATGTTAATGACTTGGATCCGGATAATTTTTTCCACGGCTGATCCAGGATCCGGATCTGGATCAAAATTAAATGAATCCTAAGCACTGCTTGTATTCTAGGATGGAAATGTACTCCTCCATGAGATGCAGATCCAGCATCCTACTGCTAGCTTGATTGCCCGTGCATCTACTGCCCAGGATGATATAACCGGAGATGGAACAACATCAACTGTTCTTCTTATTGGAGAGTTCTTGAAGCAGGCGGATGTGTATATCTCAGAGGGTCTTCACCCCAGGTAAGAAAAAAGAATAGGGTAAATATTTCAGATTTTCAAAGGACTTGGGGAGAAGTATTAGAAATAGTGAAAATCTTTAACAACTTGTAGTGTTAGAACTCCCAAACTTTGGAATGAAATCCCTGACAGGGTTAGATCTTCTAAGACAAAATATGATGAGATGTATGGCCCAAAACATACCTAAATGTTTGTGGTCAACAAAAGTCCATGAGCCGCTTTACATGGCCACGCATGTGGCTCTCCTAGCGTGCACAAACCAAGTAACCAAGTAATTGTGGTCTACGCCTTTTCCCTCTCCTCTTCAATTATTTCCCTCCCTTTAAACAGTTTTAGTGAGGATAAGAGATTTTATTCAGATCGTCTTTTTTTTGAGAACTTCAATTAAGTATTGTTTAAGGATAATCTGTGAGGGGTTTGATCTGGCCAAGGCTAAAGCTCTTGAGGTTCTTGAGCAGATGAAGATCCAGCTTACTGAACCAGAGAGGAAGGAGATCCTCACAGCAGTAGCCAGGTATAGTTAATCAACCAGCGATAAGGGTCTGTTCCAGATTTATGATAGAAAGTACATTTGTATTATAATTAAAGAATTTATTTTGACCAAAAAAAGATTTTATTTGATATTGATTCCTGAAAATTAATAATGGAAAATTTCAGGCAACAGATGTTAATAGCTCTTGTTTTGCGATTGTTTGTCAATGAACAGGAGCTGACTAAAGAGTCTTTCTAATTCTATTGAATTTCGATAACTGTTGACTGATTTTTCCGTCTGTTTAGTACATTTTAAACAGTACGTGAGCCTTTCATGTACTAATTATTGTTTCCAAAACTTTTCTTAATGCGGAATCAATTGTACAATAGTTTACATTATATTGGTTTAGTATTGTGCTTATTATCATTTTTCGTATTATTATCATTAGTAGTATTATCATGAATAGTATTATTGTTATCAGTAAAATTATTATTAGTAATATTATTATTAGTAGTAATATTATCATTATTAGTATTTCTAGTATTTCTACAATTATTATTGTTTCCAGGACTTCTCTTGGAACTAAAGTTCACCCTAAACACGCAGATATGCTCACCAGTATTGTCGTAGATGGAGTTCTAGCAGTCAGGTAATAATATATATATATATATATATATATATATATATATAATATATATACTAGCTTGGGAACTAGTTACTCCCGCCGGTAAACTTAGACTCCCAAAAAAAACCTTAAAAACATTCTCGTGGCTCTCTCGAGTTCCCCAATCAAAATTTGAGACAAATCGGTCAAAGGGTTCCTGAGTTATGATAGGACAAACAAACAATCAGACAGATTGCCAGCAAACAGAGATTACAACTTTATATATGTAGATATAAGTAAAAAGGGAATGTTGACTTAATTCAAGTAACCCCAACATTTGTAGAGTGGAATTTCCGATTCACAACGGTAACATTAAGCCTAAATTTAAGCTAAAATATAATATCTGATGCCCCATTTGATCCCCTCCCATTTTGATTTGATTTGATATCTGTTTATTTGAAAAATGTTTGTCATATTCAAAGTTTTGGATTTTTAGGTTATCCCAATGGTCAATTTTAGTACTGTCATTGACATTTCACATTATAGGATGCATTATTATAAATTTTACTTACAGGCCAGGTCTTTTCTTGAAACTATCTAGAAGTACGGTAGAAACGTTTATCAAAGTTTTAAGGGAGATACCGGCAATGTATGGTGTTGAACTGAGATAGTAGTATATTGTGGAGAAATTTTTGGATTAATTTGAGACATATAAAACGTGTTAATGGGGTTTTAATGACGCGATCAAACTCAGTAATTATACATCATTAAAACGTTTTATATGTCCCAAATGTATCCTTCGAAAATTTTCCACAATACTAAAATCTCATTTCAACTACTATACATTGCCGGTCACTCCCTTTCAGGACAATTCTGATAATGGTCAATGCCTCATTAGAGAACGTGAATATTTTCCTTCCTGATTTAGAAATACTGGTTTTTGAAGTATTTATTTCAGTTCCCAATATTATTTTTAGGAAAGAGGGAGCTCCTATCGACCTTCACATGGTGGAGTTGATGGAGATGCAGCATAGGTCGGAGACTGACACACAGTTGGTCCGTGGTCTGGTTTTAGATCATGGCTCCAGGCACCCCGATATGCCTAAAAGGTGAGAGGACGTTAAGATGAATATTTTTTTTCATTTTGAAATTGGCTTTATATTATTTATATTTTTATAAATAAAAAAGATTTTTCTATTCATTGAACTTCTTTCCTTTAATCTTTTTATAGATAATTAAAAGTTGATCAAATAAATGAAAGAAATCGTCAAGTTTGTTAAAAGTTAGTATTAGGCGCGGATAAGCACAAACTAAGTTAGTTTTCAACAAAATGTTTTTTCTTGGATTTGTGCAAGTTCTGTTCAAATTTTATATGCAGAATAAATCGAGAAATAAAACAACGCCAATTCTTAGTTTTAAATCCGTCTGTTAAATACCGATATTAACTGACACCTGTGTTATCTCCAGACTGGAAAACTGTTATATCCTGACGATGAACGTGTCCCTGGAGTATGAGAAGACAGAGGTGAACAGCGGGTTCTTCTACAAATCCGCTGAGGACAGAGAGAAGCTGGTCATAGCGGAGAGGCAGTTCATTGAGGATAGGGTCAACAAGATTGTCGAGCTGAAGAAGAAGGTAGGAAGAAGGTTGGGGGGGGGGGNGGGGGAGATTGCTTTGATTGTAAACAAGTTACTGATTTTTTGGCGGTCGATTGAAAATTTGCTGAAACCTCGGTAAACTATTGCCTATCAAATGAACTGGTTGCTAATCAAATGCTAATCGAAAGAATTTAATTCTTATCGATAGAATGATTCCAATTCGTTAGAATAGATTCCTTGTCGATAAAATTAATTCCTAGTCGATAATTTGATTGCTATTCAAATGATTTTATTGCACTGAATAGTTTGATAACTGTGTAAATCAGTTATTTTTCTACAATTGCTGATTGATTTGCTAGATGTGTGATGGGACAGATAAGAGTTTTGTTGTGATCAATCAGAAGGGAATTGATCCCTTCTCCCTGGACGTATTCGCCAAGGAAGGAATCATCGGGCTCAGGTAGGACAATCTCAGTTTATCTCTAAGGGATACAGTGGGACTGATAACACGTGAGTAATAGGAAAACTAAATATAAGCCACTTATGTATTTAATTATGATAGAATTATGATAGCATAAAAAAAGTTTAAAAATAGTTATAAAAAAAATACTTTAAAGTGAAACGTATCTGTGTATATTGCACAGTTGCATGTTATATGTTAATTTGTATATTTAAAATCATAACTTCAGTCTAAAGTCGTTTTCCTATTTTACAGTTTTGCATATTAATGAATACAAATCACCCCCCTTCCTCTCCAAACATGCCCCCCCTTCCCCCCACTTTATTTATTTAGTAAAAAGTACCAAATACGTAGATTTAACTTGCCAGTGGAATTGGAAATTTTTTTCTCCTAAAATCTTCGAAAATCATTCTATTGTGAACGGTATGTTTTACTAAAAATGCATACCTCTGAGAAAGGTTGTACATCAAGGTAAGATACTCTGGATGCGCTCCAATGTAGGTATTGACAACCTTTATAGCAATATACGGTTCTAAATCCTCTTATAACGTCACTCTAAATCCTCATAAGACTTCAATATGACGTCACTGCTTATTTTAAAGAATAATAAATTTTGTGGCTCACTTAATAAAAAACTTGAATTAGAATTGCCTGTTTTAGCTTCAAACTTGTAAGTAAAATTAATATTTGTTAAGTGATATAATTGTTAGTTAAATATCAGTGAAGTGATATGAGTGTCCATTGCAAATAAAGACGACATTTACTTAAATTGTAGCTCATCCAGAATATCTAACCAGATATATAACCTTGCCTTTGAGTGACACTCGCAACCCATCACCTCTCTTAAAGTTATATTGACAATAATGATATTCAGGAGAGCTAAGAGGAGGAACATGGAGAGGTTAGCCCTGGCCTGTGGTGGGGTTGCCATGAACAGTGTCGATGAGTTAGGTAGGAAAATAAATACTTCTACAGTTGGTGTTAAATCTAGGGATTAAGTATTCAACTTATGGCGGATCTACGAATTAATTTAATTCCTTTTCGATATCCATTGATGGGCAAGCATTGCTTTAAAAGTGTCCGATTCGGATATAGAGATCAAGTATTCATGTGTAATAATATCCACACTAAAGGTTATACCTCAGAATACGACTGTTCGACGTTCTCTACCTGACCCTGACCAACCCTAACTGGTTCCAAATTTGTTCTAATTGAACCCGACAGGTTCTTATTGAACTAAATGGATCTAATTTGTTTTTGACGGGTTCTGGTTCTTAATGTTAATATCTAGTTTTCTAATTGATTCTTTCTGGTTTTTTTCTGTTTGATTCTAATTGGGTGAAATCGTTTGAACTACAGTCCTAATCAGAAAGACGAATTAATTTGCAGTTTATCAGGCGACTTAACAATATAGTTTTACAAATGTGATTGATGAAACGATTATTACAAAAAAGCTCTAGTCTCACGTCGTCGTCAGACGGCTGCTCGTTTTGAGCATTTAAAATTGCCAGAGATATTTATTTTAATTGGCCTGATTTAATGTCAATTAAATTCGGGTCTTTCTGATTATGACTGTAATTCTTACAGGTGCTAACTGGTTCTAACTAGTTCTTAATGGTTCTTATTGGTTCATAATGAATCTAACTCACTCCTCTGTTAGATGCTGATTGCCTGGGTTATGCTGGTATTGTGTACGAGCATGTTCTTGGAGAGAACAAATACACATTTGTTGAGGACTGTAAGAACCCCCTCTCCGTTACCATTCTCATGAAGGGACCCAACAAACACTCCCTTCAACAGATCAAGGTACAAACATAACTTATTTAAACTTGATCAAGGTCTAGAAATAAACTTACTTACTATCTAGCTCAATTGCCAGATAACCAACTATTTAGCTCATTAGCTGTCATAAAATCCCAAATTGAACGGGTTTTAGGTATTGGCCTATTACCACGATGGCGATCTTGGGATTCCACCTTGGGGATCTTTTTCGATCATTATATAATAATATTAAGCTCATCAGCTGTTCCATAAACCACTAGATGAAACAATTTAAAAAAGAGATAGTAATTTGGCGTTCTAACATCATTAAAAAGAGATTTATATTATTTTAAATCATGCGTTGATTGAAACATTTGAAACCTCAACTTGTTTTTTATTCTTTGTTTCCAAATATGATAATTTAAATTCAACACAGTTAAGATACAAATTTTAATTTATCGTTAGAAACTGTCTTTTTTTCCAGGACGCTGTGCGCGATGGTCTCCGAGCTGTGAAGAACGCGCTTGAAGACGGATGTGTTGTTCCCGGCGCAGGTGCATATGAGGTAGCAACCCACGCTGCGCTCAAGAAGTATCTGGAAACTGTCAAGGGTCGCGCACGTCTTGGAATTCAGGTAAAAATAAGAAGACCGTTATTTGTGTTTTTAAAATGTGGACAAACACTAAATTGTGTCCTAGTTGGTCAATTAACTTCTAAAAATATTTACTTTGATAAAGCCTCTTGTTAGGTTTCTTTTTCTTCATTTGATAAAGTTGGTTTTATTTTAAAGTTGACAAGACTAGATTTCATTGATCTCTTAATCACAAAAGGATGTTTTACATAAGTATCATAAACCTGGGACCAAATTTAATTAAGTAAAATTAATTGGAACTTCAAGTTGAATTACATCTTTAGTGCACCAACTGAGTTTTAGTCTTCGTAGTTCAACTACTTATTGCGTTTTTCTAAAATTTTGTCCCTGAATTTGTTTTGTATAAATTTTAAATATTTAACAATTTTAAAATTTCAGGCTTATGCTGACGGCCTTCTTGTGATCCCTAAAGTTCTTGCGCAGAATGCCGGATACGATTCTCAGGAGGTCATGGTCAAACTTCTCGAAGAATCAACCTCCGACCAATGGGTTAGTAGTTCAAATAACTCTAATAAGATAATATATGAAACTCATGGATGGGCATTTTAGGTGTTAATGTCTGGTATTCAAATGTTATGGAGTAACGTATAATCCTGAGAAAATCAAGATAAATATTTAAACTAGAGATTTTGTGTCATCGATGGTAGATGAGTAGATTTGCAGAACAATCTTAAAGGAATCTTAGTTGTACGACGGTTGGAACATTTAAACCCCAAGATTCCGGACGAAATTTTGCGCCTATACATTTTTAGGGATGAAATTAAAACAAATTACTCCACTTAGATATCACACAATGTTTTAAGGCCAGGACCAGAGTTGAGAAAAACGAAAAGCGAGAGCTAGCTTACTGTGATTACTTTCTACTGAATTAAGCTGACTCATGTTCGTGTTTAGGTTGGAATTGATTGCGAGAGTGGCGAGGCTTGTATCCCTGCACAGCAGGGCATCTACGACAACGTCAGAGTCAAGAAGCAGATGATCAACTCCTGCACCGTCATCGCCAGCAACCTGCTCCTCGTCGACGAGATCATGCGCGCCGGCATGTCCAGCCTGAAGGGTTAAACCGTTTTGCTCATGCGCGTTCCTTTCGGCCGCGCATGCGTGGTACACGATCTGAACGAACCGCCCATTACGTCACTTCTCAAACTTGATTTTGCACCATGTGATGTCGATCTTGTCTTAATGATAAATAATAACTAATAATAATCCTGCTTCATTAATAATTATTGATTAATAATCAGTGTTTGAATTATTTCAGATGAACTAAAATGTCGTGGTTTGCTAGGCAGAGTGCACTAAATAAATAAATTATCAATTCCCTAGTTTTCGAATGCAGTGCAATCTTTTATAAAAAAATCCTTTTCTGATTAAGGATCATTCTATGTCAAGTCAGCCACCTGATGGACGGCATGTCACAGATTTTTGCTGAAATTTTGCATACAATTTGGGATATGAAGAAAAATCCCGGAACCCGAAGATGAGCGTTCTGAGACCTCCGAGGCCGGAGATATGGCTCCGTAAAGTTTTCGAGATTTCGAGGACGGCCTCTATATTTCAAATGGCTCCAACTTTTTTATTTTTGGAGATAGCTTCAAAATTTTTTTTTCAGTTTTAAATCAGAACGCTCATCGTCGGGTTCTGGGATTTTTTTCATATCCCAAATTGTATGCAAAATTTCAGCAAAATCTGTGACATGCAGTCCATAGTGGTTGACTTGACATGGAATAACCCTAAAGCTTAATGATATCCCGGATTTCTTAAATATTATGTACAAGTGAACACTACTGAACAGGGGAAGGTTTGGTCCGCGGATTAAAGAAATCCTGCAGTTTAAATCTGGATCCAATCAGAACAGGAATCATTCAATACATTCTAATTTCTCATAAATATGCATGTAATTGAGGGTTTTTCTTCTCTTCTAAGTAACCCTCTATTTAATAGAATAACATGGCAAATTCACGATACTTAAAAAGAACATAATGGGATATACTCTTGTTATGCATTTTGCATAGTTGAGTATTTTCTCTAAAAAGATAATTTCGAAAAATGAATGAAAGAAGTGTCTGTTATTATGTATCGTATTTTGGACAATTCCTAGCTTGATATGATATATGTTCTGTCATACCTATCTATATTGTGAAAGAATTTTAACTAGCTGTAGAATTTTCCATCAATATCGGAATTTATTGCAGACTCCGCTTCACTTCCTTCACTATTTACTATTTAGTAATCAATTCAATTTTTTGGGTTTTAAAATTTATCGAACTTTTTTAATATGGATCGACAATGGAGAAATAAAAAATCATGTGATTATCTTTTTATTTTATCTTCGCGATTTCCTAGTTTCGTTTCTCATATGCGGCGGCTTGTACAAAATATAAATATTCAATTACTATTTTACATAAAATTTAGATTCCATGCTCATAGTCCACGCTAATTTATTGTTACATACAATTGTTTGGATTTTATCTGAATGATGAGCTGGTTTAGTAAATCAAAAAAAGNGGGTGGGGTGGAGAGTGTGTGACACCAGTTCTCGTTAGATCACTGAAGTTAAGCACACTTGTCCACAGCCAGTAACTGGATTGGTGTCCAGGCTGGTGTTCACGGGTTCGATTCCCGTACTCCACACAAACTTGTGGTTTCAAAAAAACCTGAAGCCGACATCTTGTTAAGCAGTTATGACCACCTGACGGATGTAGAAGGACAGAGGGGCGGCTGTCAACAACTCTCGCAGCGAAAGGGTGTGTTCTCTCTTCTTAACAAGAAAGAGGCTTTAAGTGGATTGATCCAAGTGAATGATGATGAAGAGAGGAAAGGTGGACAAGCAGAGGGAGTCTATGGTTGCCAGCTATAGGTACCTGGAGGTATCCAATCCGGGGTTACAAATGATTGGAAGAAATGAGTGTGATGTTTCCTGTCTGAAGGCACCCGGGCCACATCATATCGGAAGAATTTCTGTACTCTACTATTCTCAGACCTAAAAGCCCTTAGACAGCTCGAATCTTGTCAACCTTCTTCTCAGTATGATTGAAGCGTGGATGGATGAATGTGCTGCCAGATTACAACCCCTACAGATAAAATATAAATTCATACAACACCAAACTTTTGCAAAAGAAAATTTCCGAGATTTGATCGTAACAACCCGATCACGTTCTCTTCAAAAAGTTTAGCGAAAGTTTATTATCGATTTCAGACACTTGCACTAATACACATGTGCGTTCACTACAACAAATTTTCTTTGTGAGAAAAAACTATTTTATGGGAGAAGAGTGTTGAAATATACACCTCTAGAACATTGAAGATTTCCAACATATATTAAATTGATTGATTGGTTGATTGATTGATTGGTTAGATTGCTCCCTCTTCAATACAGTGTTGAACACTGTAAATTATGTGGATCTCAACACAACACCTCACACAGACACTACTCAGGCAAATACGGACAATCTTACGTTTTCTTGACATTTAAACATTGTTTTAGAACTAATATTAACAGTTTAGGCCAAATTTTAGTGTTTCTGGAAATACCAGAAAATTTATATGATAAAATCATTTATTAAAGTTACCATTTTCAGTTTTATATCTGGCTCCATGGCGTTAAAGGTTGGAGATAACTAAATTATATATGAGACTAAAAGGGAAATTAGACCTTGTATGGTTTCAAACTTATTTATTTATATTTTTCATCAAGTTTGCACTGTATTTTGCGGCAACTTTTAATTCCTCAAAATCTCTTAAAAAATCAAAATTGGTTGAATTAGTCTTTTCTTTGTAAAAATTTAAAATCTGGGCAGTGTGAATTTTTATCTGAATTTTAGAAGAAAAAATCGAATTGAAAAAAGAAAATTTATATTTCAAGAAATAAAAAGCACATGCATTATATATATTAGAGTTGTTTAATTTTGTTCAAAACTGTTCAAAACTATTTAAGACTATTTAGCACTGTAAATATTAATTTTCGAATCATTTTTTAAAACTGTTCAAAACAGTTCAAAACTGTTCAAAACTGTTCAAAACTGTTCTAAACTGTTCAAAACTGTTCAAAACTGTTAAAAAACCGTTGAACTGTTCAAAACTGTTCTAAAAGTCTGTTTTGTTTTGCAGGATTACCGAGGTCTCGAGCTCGCCTGCTGGTCACACCTCGTCTTATCACGCAGACCTATCAAATCAGACATATAGGCACAACAGTTCGATCCAAGTTATTAAAGGGACTGTAGTATTAATTAAAGCGGTTTTTTTTTCCCGCGATTTTTAATATTACGATTTCTTAAGGGGTCTCGTCGGATTAAAATGAGTTTGGGGAAAAAATACGCGACATAACTTTTTGAAGAGATTATTTCATTAATCGTCGGATGAAAATGATTTTAGGGAAGAAAATACCCGAATTTTTTATTTATTGTATTCTTAAAGTCAGGGAACATCACATCATCATGAACAACATTCGTGTAGCTGGAGGAAAAGGGGGGGGGGGTTAAAGAAGGATATTCTTGGAAGGGTTTTGATCAAACATTGTGATATCAGGAATTATTCCAACAGTTCTTAGAAGTGTTCTCAAAATCAGGTAATGTTCTTACAATTCAATTTAATTGATAATTTCCATTTTGTATCCTTGGTAATCAGATAAATTATTAAAATTTCAGAAAATTGTTCAGTTTTAAAACCGTATTCTCAGCTGAACTTTTTAATTCGTATAATTAAAGAATATTGCAAATAACAACTTATAACTTATTCACGTTTTTAGTATGATTTGCACAAGTGGGAAGAAGATGGCATTGTGGCATCACTCGTTTATTTGATTTTTGATCTGTTAGGTATTTACTGCTTGGTACTGCAGTGGGAGGTGGTGCTAGTATAGCAAGGCAGTATGAAGACTGGAAAAAAGGCAATATGCTTTCCCTTCTCTTTTTATGTTTATTATTATAATATACGTTTATAAATGGGCTTGCACAAATTTAAGACCATCGATAAAAAATTTCTTCGTTTTTTGTATATTGCAAAACATGATTTTAAAAAATCCAACCAGGTTTGTTCTATTTTTAATTAGGTAAAAAATTCATTGTAAACTTGTGTTTGCCAATCTAATGTTTCACGTTAATAGATTAATTTCCGATGAAATACTTACGCAATTTTATTTAAAAATGTTCCTAATTTAAAAAAATCTTTGAAGATACTGTTCACGTAAACTCAAGTGACCCCTCTATTAAACTCAAGTGACCCCTCTATTAAACTCAAGTGACCCCTCTATTAAACTCAAGTGACCCCTCTATTAAACTCAAGTGACCCCTCTATTAAACTCAAGTGACCCCTCTATTAAACTCAAGTGACCCCTCTATTAAACTCAAGTGACCCCTCTATTAAACTCAAGTGACCCCTCTATTAAACTCAAGTGACCCCTCTATTAAACTCAAGTGACCCCTCTATTAAACTCAAGTGACCCCTCTATTAAACTCAAGTGACCCCTCTATTAAACTCAAGTGACCCCTCTATTAAACTCAAGTGACCCCTCTATTAAACTCAAGTGACCCCTCTATTAAACTCAAGTGACCCCTCTATTGAACTCAAGTGACCCCTCTATTAAACTCAAGTGACCCCTCTATTAAAGAGTTGCGTGATTTACAGAGATGCCATGTAAACCTTTGTTTGATTAAAAAATGAAGTGGATAATGTCGTTTTTTTGTGAATGCTGAATTCTAACAATTTCCTCTAACTTTGCATCATAAATCCGCAAATAACTGATAAAGAAAATAAACTGATGAAAATTTATAAATTTTCACGTTTCAGAGAGCAAAATCAAATATAACCTTGCAATTTTTAAGTATAGAAGGTATCGTTGGTAATCAGGCATGCGCTCTTTTTTATATGGAAGTTCAATTGACTGCAGTGCTTAGGATCCGGATCCGGATCCGCAAAAATATGCGGATCCACGGATCTTGATCCAAGGGGTAAAACATCAACCAAAAACACAAAACTTTTTTACTCCTAAAACCCAAATCTGAAATTTTGAAAAAAGTGAGATTATAAAATGTTTTAGGATAAAAATATGCAAAAAAATAAAACAAAAAATTTGAAAATAATTTTTTGTTAAAAGAATTCTGTTTATCAGCAAAGAAATTACCTGGATCCGGATCCATTTTTCTCCAGTGCGAATCCAGGATCCGGATCCGGATCCGCATCAAAATTAAATAGATCCTAAGCACTTCAATTGAGTTCACGTCATCAGTCCCTTAAATAATACTTTAATCAGGAAATATTTTCCGAGTTTTAAATTCTAATTGTCCAGGGTTACCGGATACAGCCTGGTTAAAGGAGATGATTCCGGAAATAGATATTGATAAGTTCAGACATGGACTCATTGGTAAAAATATTCATACATTTTTTAAAATTTTAATGTTTTTAATTTTTACTTTTTTGTTTAAAATATAATCTTTCTGCATTTTGCATACATAATTACACAATGATAAGTGTCTAATGGATAAAATTAGTTTAATAAATCATATTTCTATATTTAAAATATATTTACACAAATTTCTCCAAATTATTGTTAGCAAAAGGGTTTTCGTTAGCAGCGCAGTTTTTAATGCTATACCCTAAATTTATTTAGGGTAACCAGGAGTGGAAAAAGGGAGGTTTTAAAATCTTCATTTTTGTAGATTCATAATCGTTTAATTATATCCCGGCAAAATACAGTTTTCCTGGCGGGATATAATATTTATTGCCTGAATATAATATTTTGAGCCGGGTAGAAATATTTATTATTTTAGGCTTGAAAGACCAGATGAAGGGAAAAGTTGGTGAAATACAGATGGATCCTAAACTCAAGGTTAGCAACAGTTCTTTGTAATTAGTTCTTTTGTCTGTTTGATTCACAACGGTACCCTTAAAAACTTTGTCATATCAAACTTCTATGAGAGGTTTTGTTCTAAGAACAATGGCGAAATTATCAGAATTAATCATATCTTAAGCCAGAAAACGGCAGTATCTTCCACACTAATGATCAGATTAAGGTTTCAAATGTAACGACGTTGTGCATTGCCCTTTCTGCCTTATATTGAGAGTCACGTAAAATTACAATACACTTAAATATGTATTTTCCGGCAAAATATTGATTGATTGATTGATGTAGGATGCTGGTTGGGAGAAGTATTCCGAGTTTAAGATCTGGTTCGATAAGAGGCTGGACGCCGCTATCAAGAAGGTCGAGGAGGAAGAGGAGGAGAAGGTCGTTGTTGTCAAGGTTGGTAGAAATCGCTTGGGTTTGACATTTTTTCGAATTAAAAATAAGTTGTAACAATTTAAGCTTGTTAGGTAACACTGCAATGAGAGTAGAGTTAATCATAAAAGGTTAAATACGGAGAGAATATGATTTTTATTAAAGGATGAAAAGAGTTTAATGAGTAGTTTACAAGAGGAATTCAACAGAATGAAGGAAAATTCACCAAATCTGGTTCCTGTAGTTACTGCATTCAGGTACTTTTTAATCTAAGTTAATTTAAAGGTGTATAACGCCCAAAACCTTAAGAAGAGGTGGGGGATAGTTCATCTTCTATCAGGGGTATAAATTTCGAACAATTATTCTCCAGTGCCCTTTAAATAGCCATCAATTTCCTCAATTATACTTTTAGCATAAATTCGCCTTTAGGTCACTTTTATAGAGAATAGAGAACTCAAAAATTAAAACAATAAATTTTCAAAGAGAAATACATCTCAATCATTCTTTATCAGACAAAGCTTTAAAGGGTACGGCGGTAAATCGGACATGCCTGCACATCATTTATGGAAGGTTACTTGAAGTTACGTATGCACTATGCAGTCCCTTTAATATTTGAATGTGTAGGTGCAGATCAAGTACCAGAAACAGATAGAGAGGCTGGAGAAGGAGAATAAGGAGTTGAGGAAACAGCTGCTGCTCAGGGGGAAACAGGCAACATCCGCCAAACAGATCAAGAAATCTCTCATTGACATGTACAGTGAGGTAAGAACACAACAGTAAAGGGAGTACTCTGCAGGGATATGTATTTATTTGAAAATAATCCCCACCCTCCTCCTTTTTAAATTTATTTTACCCCCCATATTAATAAACAAACTATTTTGAAGGGAAAATAAATGATTGTTTTATTTAACTGTACAGGGTTACAGACTGAAGATGAGACTGTAAAGACAATCTAATATTCTTTAGATTTGCATAGAATCCTAAATGAAAAAAAACAAGACAGAATTAATTCTATACACTCGTCTCTGAAGTCTCATCTTTTCTTCATAATAACCCTGTATTTTAAAAAAGGGGGGGGGGAGCCGCAGTTGTTGCAGGGTAAACTGTAGTAATATTATTATTATTATTCTGAATTCAGTATTATTATCATTATTATTTTTTTACTATTTTGTTATTATTGTTTTTGTTATTATAATCAGGTGCTAGATGATCTGTCTGGATATGATTCTAGTTATAACACTGCAGATCATCTACCTAGGGTTGTGGTCGTGGGAGACCAAAGTTCAGGTTAGTTTACAGGACGGAAGACGACAATTTAAGGGACACGCCATTCTAAGAGCGACATGTTTGATTTCCAAGGGTACCTATTAAAATTCTCTCTGAGGCAGATTTCATTTCATCGTTTTGTTTAAAATAGACTTCAGAATTGGAAACCCCATTTTAAAAAGTTTAGATTTGGGTTTTAATGATTTTATTGTATATTTTTTTATTTAAACGTAGTTCAAACCTACTGAAACCTATGAATATGAATATGAATATTAAAGTAAAAGGTGAAAGTAAAAAATATTAATATTTTGTGACAGCAGATTAATGGGATTACGCGAACGGATAACATTGTAATACTAAAAATATATTAATTTACTTTCAGGAAAGACCAGTGTGCTTGAAATGGTTGCTCAGGCGCGCATATTCCCGCGCGGGGCTGGAGAGATGATGACCCGCGCCCCTGTCAAGGTCACGCTCAGTGAAGGACCTTATCATATTGCTCAGTTCAAGGTTTGATAATCCATCTTAGTCTTAGTTACACATGTTGACGGGATCCAAGTTTCTTCTATTAGATACAAACAAAGTAATAGATACTAGGCATCTTCTATTTCAATCCTAAACATTTAATTTTTTTGGAGGTTAGTTTTTAAAATTTTGATCATCCATAAATTTTTTCTTGGGACGGGTCATGTGAGCTCCTACACAAAATCTGGGCCCGATCGGTTTGGCCATTTTTATGTAATTGGATACAAACAGACAGACAGACAGACAGACAAGCTAAGTATAGATATATGTACAATGTACATTGTAATGTACAATGTACACAGTACAGTTTGAATAATGTGAAAAATAGATACTATGCATATTCCTTTTTTCAATTGTGAACATTTAATCTTTGTTTACATTGTAAAACAAAATCAGAAAAAGTTTGCGGATTTTAAAATTTAATGAAAATCAAATTTTGTTGGAGTTTAGTTTTTAAAATTTTGATCATCCATAAATTTTTTCTTGGGACGGGTCATGTGAGGTCCCACACAAAATCTGGGCCCGATCGGTTTGGCCATTTTTATGTAATTGGACACAAACAGACAGACAGACAGACAGACAGACAGACAAGCTAAGTATAGATATATGTACAATGTACATTGTAATGTACAATGTACACAGTACAGTTTGAATAATGTGAATATTCAATGGATAAATATTTTATCCTATTAAGAACCCTGTCAGTGTACAGTGTACTGTAAGTGTACAATTGAGTATTAGTCTATACCTCCTCTTTTTACAGAATATGTGTTAAGGATTCCAACCGTGAGTTTGATTTGACCAATGAGAAGGATTTATCGGAACTAAGACGGGAAGTGGAAATCAGGTTCATTTTAAAATCTTTTTCGGGTTTTTAGTGTTCAATAATTTTTTCTCATATTTCCTGATTTTTTTTGTACCAAACGTCGAACAGCGGCATTAGAAAATAAGAATTTTTCTTTCTTTCAAATTCGAAGGGTTAGACTGCATGTTGATTGTTGATGCGCTGCGCTGCATGTCGGGTTCCTTTTAAAGATTTTCTTATATTTCTTCTTAAACTTAGAGGGGGAGGGGGGATTCAGACTTTGACTTCTTGAACAGAGCAGGAGGACTTAAAATGTTTTTTTTTCTCACACATTTTTTATTTTTTAAGTTTTTCATAAAACCAAAACAAAACTTTATCCTCTGAAAATTAGAATGGAGGGTGAAACTTGTGTGGAATATTACTACTTTCCACTAAACTCGATTTTATGTGGAAAACATTTTAAAGTAAAGTTTCACTTCTAAAATCGGTAAACGATATTCATTCCTGCTTCATAGGTTTACCCATCAACGGGGAAATGTAGCCGGCTAAGTAATCACAGATTTCAGACACAAAAAGTTTACACTTGCGTCGGCCAAAGAAATTTTCTTGAACTTTATGATGATTAGGATGATGAACAGTGTACGTAACGGGCGCACAGTGAGCACAGATGTGATCAGTATGACCGTAAAGGGGCCAGGATTACAAAGGATGGTTTTAGTTGATCTTCCAGGGATCATTTCTACAGTAACCTCAGGTAAAATAGGAGGGATCTTTCTACAGTAACCTCAGGTAAAATAGGAGGGATCTTTCTACAGTAACCCCAGGTAAAATAGGAGGGATCTTTCTACAGTAACCCCAGGTAAAATATGAGGGATCATTTCTCCAGTTACCTCAGGTAACTTAGGAGAGATAATTTCTACAGTAATCTCAGGTAAAATAGGAGGGATTATTTCTCCAGTTACCTCAGGTAACTTAGGAGAGATAATTTCTACAGTAACCTCATGTAGCGTAGGAGAGATCATTTCTACAGTGACCTGAGGTAATCAATTAGGGGGAACCGTTTCTACAGTTAGCTCAGGTAAACTGAGTTTTGTCGGCACATTTAGCTCCGTAGCAAAAGCATCGGGCATCGTATAAAAACCTCAAATTGGGATCAATAGAAAAGTATTGTTTAATGTATTGTCAGTACTAAAATTACCTTATCAACAAATATGAGAATAATGCACCTTGCACACAGTAAATAAACCTGGGTATCGAATTTACCTTTTTAGCCATCCTATAATTTATAAAACTGTTTCAAGTTTAATTTTGGGTCTATTTGTGAACATTTCCTCTTCGTACAATATATAACAAGAAAAAACAATTTCAAGGATTTTAAAACATTTTTTTTCGCGAATCTAAAATTTTTATGAAAATCATATTTTTTAGACGCAAGTTTTTGTAATTCTGAGCATCCCTGGGGTCATGTTAGTTGCCATAAAAAAATGTGGGTCAAATCGAATCAGGCGGTTTGACGTTATTGAATACAAACAAACAAACAGACAGACAAGCAAATTATATATATATAGATAAGGTGCGTCACAAAATAATAATATATTTGGTAGGAATGAACCCTGAGACTAAGGATAATATTAGGAACCTTGCTCAGACCTACATGAGTAATCCAAACGCAATTATTCTTTGTATACAGGTAAATACAGGGTGTTTCTTTTTTCAATTTGAAAACGCTTTAATTCCATAATTTTTAAAGATATCTAAGTTCTCTTAAAAGCTCATGAAAGATGAGATTGGCACTTTTAAATAATGTTTTGAAACATAAATGCAACATTTAAACAATAAATGTTTGAAATGCTCGCCATCTTCTTGGTAGCAAGTTTTGACTCTATCTCTGAAATTGTGAGAGTTAGAAAATTAGAGTTTGAGGCAAAGGTGCAATTCCTTTCCTGTGACTTAGGATGGTTCTGTTGATGCTGAGAGGTCGAATGTGACGGATCTTGTTTCCTCCATGGACCCGAGCGGAAAGAGAACCATCTTCGTCCTCACCAAGGTCGACATGGCGGAGCAGAACCACTCACATCCGGACAGGATCAGGTATAGTTCATCACTTTTTCAGAGATAATGATTCTTAATTTTTCCACAAATTTTTATAAAATTGTTATACAAAATGCAGGAGAAGGCTCCAAGAACCCTGAACTGTATGATAAGTTCAAATATTGAAATATATCATTCACTCGATATATCTTCAAATCTATTTATTTATACGTCTGTCTTTCAATCTATATATCTATTTATACTGATAGGAGATCGATTTGTGGCGTATTTTATTTTTTGACTTTTTTGACGTTAGAAGTATTTCACAAAAATTTACATTGCAAAATTATAATCTTTATAAGTTTTCTGTTATTACATTATGCGATTTTTTTTCTTTAATTTGAGTTTTACTAAAACAAATTTTCAAAACGAAAAACGGAGAATGATTTAATTAAGCGTGTAGAATTTCAGGGGACATTAGTTCCAAAACTAACACTTGGCCTATTTCTAACACTGAGTGTTAGAAATGGGCACAAATTTAAAGACTGGGTTTTTAGGATCCCGGCCTATATCGAGAGTAAAAGTAATTAAAACTATAACCAACATTTTAAGCATGACTAGGACTACAATTCCCAATTTAACACTATTTTCTGGAATCAAAATTATATTAAAGAGTTCTTTGTATATTAAAACCCTTGATCGTTTTCAAGACAATGTCAGATTTTCCGTTTTCGAACATATCCTGAATTTAAATCATTGTCGCGTTTTCGAGACAAACCCCACTTTCCCGAGTATTATCAAAACTTCTTTGAACTTGAAAACGATAAATTTGCAGAATTGGCCCATTTCTTACACTCAGCGTTAGAAATGGACCACTTGTTAGTTTTGGAACTAATTTCCCCTGAAATTGGATGTTTTGTAGAGCCTCTTAAAAGTTTAAATTCTTTTAATGTTTAAAACGGTCATGAAAAAGATGCCCTTCAGGATCTATGTTTACTAGCTTATCTATCTTTAGAAAGATACTGTCTGGTAAACTGTTCCCAATGAAAGCCCTGGGTTACTTTGCTGTAGTTACAGGCAGAGGAAACAAAGACGACACAATCCAGGTCATCCTTTTAGACGATCACGTAAAGTCGTCTTTTGTTGACGTGACATTTAATGCATTTATTTTTTTAACCCATTAATGGAACTGAAGGCGTTAAAATTGTTTATGAAAAGTTTCTTAAACAACTGAAATTAGGCGTTTTAGTGGACGTAATTCAACTTTCCTTTCAGGAGTAGTGGCTTGTCCGATTTACAAATTTAAAATTGTGTCTGATCGTAGATGATTGAGAGATCCTAAAGTGAGAATCAGAAAACTGTGGAATAGGAAGATGCAATTGAAGCACTAATTAATTGTATGTATTTAACCTTGTTGCAACGTAAATAGTTATACTAGTAACTTGTTAAATTACTTACTCTTGTTAATTGGGTCTGTTCACACTGCGCATTGTTTGTCTCATATTCATTTGACTATTTAAAGTGAGTCTAAAAGTCGTCTTTCTATTCCAGAGTTTATTGGATCTCACTGTAGCTGAAAGTTGAATAAAAGCTTATCTATGAAAGTTACTTTTGATTTTATACTGCCAGACATAGATTTAAAACGACAAAATCTTCCTCATTGTTACTTATATAGATGTTTAAATGGTATCGTTGTGGGTTGGGCTTGTAACTCTTTTTTTTAAAATGGAAATTATGTCCATTTTACTGATATTTATCCCATTTGAATAAATGATATCAATATATTTTCTTCTAATTCATTTTATTATTAGGATATTAAAGAATACGAAGAGGATTTCTTTCAAAACTCCAAAATATTCAAGGAAAATATAAAGATTTAATTTCATGTTATAATAATTTCCAGCTGAAGTGTCCAAGGTTCAAAGTCATAATTACTCGCGCCGTTTACCCGCGCTTGGTATTTAATCATGCCTGAAGTTGCCATATGCCCACGGAATTTTAAAATTTCAAATTTATTGCAGCTTATGTCAAAATGAGTCAAATGAGTCAAAATGTCAAAATAAGTTTCCTAAAATATCGTATGTTGAAAAGTTTAAAAAGATTAAGCGACTAATTGAAATTCCCAAATGTGTCAACCGGGCACAGGCCTCTTGGGAAATGTGAGAGTTTGTATTTTTGGGATGAAGTGGTCAATTGGGAAAATTGGTCTTTGAAATTGGTATTTGGTACGTTAAATAACAGTATTCCGACATTACTCTTTATATATGGTTAGGGAGGTATAATCAACTCTAGTCAGATTACCACCAGGAACCTCAGCTTTGCAGTGTCGGAGTGCTTCTGGAAGATGGTTAGGGATACTGTAGAACAACAGGCGGATGCATTCAAGGCTACTAGGTACTACTAAACCCGAATTTTGAGGTCTAAATGTTCAGAATAACTGCTTCTCAATTTGGGACTGACTTTTACGTTTTTTGTTCGTAAAATATCATTTTTAGTGAACACTTCTTTAAGGAAAAAGCCACAAATACTCAAGAAGAAATTCTGCGCCTATACTTTTTTCGCAATGTATAATCTAAGAAACAAAAAAAATCTGTTGAATCGCATATTTATTCTTTAAAGGGACTGTAAGCGTAATTTTAAGTGACCTTCTAGTCAGTGCCAGTCTGATTTACAATGATATCCTTTAAACATGTGTTTGATCAAGTATTTCTTAGATATTATTGTTTATATTGCGGGAAATTGAGTGCCAAGAGTCGTCCGCGCGAGTGTACAGTGTACAGTGTATACTGTAACCTCGAGTCTCCCTGAGCCCGAAATTTAAAAGAGTATAGTTGAATGTCCCTCCTGAGTTTCCATTTCGAGGTCTTAACATTTAAGTAGATTTTAATTTAAGAGATTCGAAAAAAAGGAGAATATGAAGAAACTAAATAATATAATATTTCATAACAAAAATATTGATATCTACAAAACTGCCTGACCCAATTCTTGAAACCCAGGTTTCATAACTGGTTTTTATAAAGATACCCTGTCTATAAGTTTTGGGCTCTGGCTGCACTCTATCTTCAGCTATAGGAATGAGGGTATCAAACTCATCGTTGTCCGTACAAAGATTTAAAGGGTACCGTTGTGTATCAAACAAATGGAAGATGACATGAAATTACGGTTACAGTCCCTTTAATGTATCAGATTCAACCTTGAAACTGAGTGGAAGAACAACTATCCTCGAATCCGTGAACTGGATCGGGACGAACTGTTTGAGAAAGCTCGAGGAGAAATATTGGACGAGATTGTAAACCTTTCACTTGTATCAACACAGGTAATAAAAAAGATAGGATGAAGGTACAGGGTTTCCCACTATTCATGTCACTGGAAAAACGATAGCAAAAGATCTTTTATAGCCATCTTCATGACAAGTGTGTCAAAAAAAAGTCATACAAGTTACAAAATTTAGGTATCTCTCTTCCTTGTGTCTTACTCAATGACATGACCACATTCTGTAAATGTCTGGGCTTGCAGTATTCTTTGATTAATGTTATTAAGTGTGACACCCTGTACTTCCTTAATTTTTACGCTTCTAGTAAAGGGAGTTTATTCATTGACCCACTATGATGAAAATTTGTAAATATTTTTATTAGAATTTTGCTGTATCTTGCGTTATCATCAAGTAATAGATCTAAAATACTTTGCCAATAAGTTTTATGGGACTAAAACGCATACTATAGTTATATTATCTTCTATATAAAAAGTTGTAATTTCTGTTTGTTTGTTTGTTTAAATGTCCGACCATAACCTCGGGAATCCCTTAACTAACTTGTCTCAAAGTTTGATGGGGGAACTCGGGAGACACACGGGAATGTTCTTAGCTTCAAGGTGGCCAAAACTTTAAATGAAAAATCCGTACAAAAATCTGTACAATTATAGATAAAATCCGCACAATCTGTTCATTTATGAAAAAATTCATACAATCCATACACAAAATTCGTACCATCAGTACTTTTTTTTTGAAAAATCCGTACAATCCGTACAAAAAAAAAATTTTTAAGAAAAAAAATCCAAAATAAAAAAACATTAACTACAACACAATTATTTTTTGAGCTACAGCAATCTAAAAATAAAATTAACATTTTTAAGATAAATAGAAGAAAGCTATGATACCGAAATATTTCACACGAACTTTCCTCAGCTGAAAAATTTGCTTTTTTATCAATCGGTACATGCCACAGCTCGCGTTTTCATCAAAAATATTTAAGCTAAATCTGGTCAAAAACAATTTTTAACTTTTTAAGATTTTTGACTTTACTCAAAGAAGTGGTTGTAACACAAAAAGTTTGAAACATAGAAAATTAAAATGTACACCTGGAAAGAACTGATTTTTTTGCGTTTCAATGACACCTTGATTAGGAAAACAAACTAAAATTGTTCCCTCAGTACCAAATACCCCCTATTGCAATTTTTTTGTTGGACACCACGTACTTCTGGAACATTATCGAATGAACACTTCTGGAATATATTCTCGAAAAGATGAAATAATGCATTTGGATTGTCATTTGAAACAACAATCAACCTAATATAATTCGGAATGAAGATAATAGATTAAAATTTATTTTGAAGAGACTTTTTTTTAGAAAATTTTCATGCAAAAATTGGCTTTTGCTTGAGTCAAAATCGGAAAAAAATGTTTCCCGGGTATAAAACCGGAAAATTCGTACAATTTGAGACATTATCCTTACATTCCGTACATTCCGTACAATCCATACAATCTGTAAAATTTTATTGCACAAAAAAATTCGTACTATGGTTGACTTATTTAGCGAAAGTTCAGGTTCCAGGTTAAGTTGTGTTCCCAGGCTAGTACTTCATAATTTAGCATATTTATTTTAAACAAACCTCTTGACAATTTATGATTGCTTAAACTTGAAGATAAAAATGTCCCATTCTGTTTTAAATATTGAACCATGTAATGTTGGCTGGATTTTAAAAGTTTTCTTTTAGTTTCAACTTTCAACAAATTTTATATTTAAGACCTGGGAAGAGGCTCTAGGACGGAAACTATGGGAGAAGGTTGCTGGTCATGTGTTTGAGAATATTTATCTCCCGGCAGCACAAACCCAGGTAGGAGAGTAACTAGGAGAGTAACTAGGAGACTAACTAGGAGAGTAACCAGGAGAGTTACTAGAAGAGTAACTAGGTGAGTAACCAGGAGAGTTACTAGAAGAGTAACTAGGTTAGTAACTAGGAGAGTAACTAGGAGAGTAACTAAGAGAGTAACCAGGAGAGTAACTAGAAGAGTAACTAGGTGTGTAACTTGGAGAGTAACTAGGAGAGCAACTAGGAGAGCAACTATGAGAGTAACAAGGAGAGTAACAAGGAGAGTAACAAGGAGAGTAACAAGGAGAGTAACAAGGAGATTAACTAGGAGAGTAACTAGGAGAGTAACTAGGAGAGTAACTAAGAAAGTAACCAGAAGAGTAACTAGGTGAGTAACTTGGAGAGTTACTAGGAGAGTAACTAGGAGAGTAACAAGGAGAGTAACAAGGAGAGTAGCTAGGAGAGTAACAAGGAGAGTAACAAGGAGAGTAACAAGCAGAGTAACTAGGAGAGTAACAAGGAGAGTAACAAGCAGAGTAACAAGCAGAGTAACAAGCAGCGTAACAAGCAGAGTAACAAGGAGAGTAACTAGGAGAGTAACTGGGAGAGTAACTAGGAGAGTAACTAGGAGAGTAACTAGGAGAGTAACTAGGAGGTCACGTGTTAAAGAATATTTACTAACCTGAGAAGATTTCTCTATTTAAATTATTTAAAATTGCATCAGTTCTTTCCCATGCTGCGATATTTAAACTATTTAAACTCAATTTTACAAATTAAAGGGACTATCGTTGAAATGCCAAGTAACCCTTGATTAATCCCAATCACAACGGTACCCCAGGAAGCTTTATCTGATAAACAAGGTGGAGGATAGGTTCGTTTATCCATTAGGAAAAGTGTTACAATTTAATAATTCTTACATTGTTTTCATGCAGTAAGTCAATTTTGCAGAGAAACCACAATTGAAAGAAAATAATCAATTTTCAAGATTATAAATATGGATATCCAATTAATGATTTATTAGACAGTGCTTTAAATGGTACCATTGTGAATCGGAAGTGCCTTTGACGGATTGAAGGATTGTTGCATGCAAATTTTAGTTAATTTGAAAAATTGAATCTATGGAGAAAGAAGCTGGCCCCTCTCTAGTCTAGATGACCCCCCACCCCTAATAATTTAACACAACGTCCTTTGAAAGGTTGTTATACTTTTACTTAACAACTATTTGTTGACGGTTCTTATAATTCATGTTCTACATTTTAGAGCAGTGGCAGTACCCGTCAGATTAGCCCACATAATCGTAGTGGAACATTTAATACCACAGTCGATATCAAACTCAAGCAATGGGCAGAAAACCAACTTCCAATCAAATCCGTTGAGGTAATTTTTAGTTCTTTGTAAAAAAAACAAATAGTTTTTTTAATATGTTTTAACATTAACAACTTCAGGTCGGATGGGAGACTTTAAAAGAAGAGTTCTTGAAATTAATGGAGAGAGCGAAGAAGGGACGGGAGCATGACGATATTTTTGATCAGCTCAAGGTAAGAGCGGCCATTTTATTGTTATGACCAACTGATAATAATCCGCCATTAATAAATATATTTCTGTTGGCTGATATCAGTGACAGTCCTTTCCTTTTTTCCCGTCAGTTTAGATTTTGGTAAACTTGTGTTTTGAAGGTATTTATCTTCCAAGCCACATTCTCCTCATTTTCAAAGATTATGAGGCGGCTCGGACGAGAAAATAAGGAGAATGTTGCTCGGACAAGAAATTTCTGTGGCTGGCCTTCCTCATCTCGAATTATAAAACTAAAATTCAAGATCTTTGATATAAAATAAAGTATGCACGCTCTCACAAGGGTTGGGCCAATTACTCTATTTATTCTAAAGCTAGAACCACGCGCGTTACAGTTTAAAATTGTACATATCTAGAGCTACAACAAGAAAATAAATAGAAAAGAACCAAAGGCTAGACGTTGCGTCATTTTAAAGTCAACCCGGTCTTAAAATTTTATACATTTTATACATTTGTGTGCATTTTGTAAATATTTATGAAAAACAAAATGTTATTATTTCAAATTGTTCCAGGCAGCAGTTGTGGAGACGGCCATGAACAGACATATGTGGGAAGATAAGGTAATATGAAAAGAGGGTACACTCTGACTAAGGTCCAAGGCGCATACTGGATNATTAGAAAATTAAAGACCTTAAAGAATTTGCTACTTTTCTCACTTTGTGTAGGTGACAATTTATTTCCCAAAACATTTTGTTCAAATGATAAATTTTAGAGATACATGGAAAAAATACCATTTTTTAAAAGCTTTGTTTTGAAACACTCTTTGTCATAAACCAATTATTGGAAATCAAGTCGGCTCTTGATTCTCATGTTTATTGGGACGCCCTGATCAAGTTACTTCTGATTGTTCATTAACATTAACGTACTGTATGTACTTTACTTTACGGTATAGGGGTTATTGAGTCCGTTTCGTACACACAAAGTTTAAAGTACATACAAATTAATGTACTGTACTGTACATTTTCAAACCAGTTAAATCAGCTGATTGGATGTACACAGTTCACGTTGACATGCACATTGTTATTATTTATATTTGCCTCCTGAAATTCAAAACTTATTTTAGTTTATTTTGCGTTTTAAAATTATTTTAGATCATTTAAGGTTTTAATCCTATAATCGTTTTCTGTTTGGATCTTTACCAATTTCTTTGTCACTAATAAACGTTTTTTTTTCTCTCTTTCTCTTCGTTTTTACATTGTTTTTCTTTTTCCTGTTTTCCATCTCCTCATTTTCTCCTTGTTCCCCTAATTCTCTTGTCTTTTTAACATGTTTTCGTCATTTCTTTATTTCTTAAAATTTTTCCTTATTTTTATATTTTTTTCGTGGCTAACATTCTTGTGTTAGGCTAGTGAGATGCTACGTGTTATACAGTTAAATACTCTTGAAGACCGATCTGTTCATGATAAACAACATTGGGATGGTGCAATCAAGTAAGTTGATAGTTAAACTGATAAACAACATTGGGATGGTGCAATCAAGTAAGTTGATAGTTAAACTGATAAACAACATTGGGATGGTGCAATCAAGTTAGTTTATAGTAAACTGATTAACAACATTGGGATGGTGCAATCAAGTTAGTTTATAGTTAAACTGATAAACAACATTGGGATGGTGCAAACTAGTAAGTTGACGCCGGGTCTTTCAGCTAGTATCAATTATGTAAGAACACATTTTTTTGGCCTTTAGATTTTCAGAAATTTGGATATTTTCCAAACATCAACTTAACTGATTGCCTAATTAGCGATCGGGAGAAACTACATGATGTAAAAAATTACAAAATTCATTCCTAGATTTCTGGAGGATTCATTGCACGAGAAAATAACAACTAATGAAGCAAACCTCAAGGAGGTTGTAGGGGAAATGATTTTTGGAGATCATCTGGGGGGAAAAATAGGACATGAAAAGGCAAGCTTTTTCGTCATCTTTATATTTCTTACCCAAAAATCTGATTATTTTCCCCAATTTAGCAAATAAAACTACAACCGTACTTACCTGGGGGGGGGAGGGGGTTGAATGATTTTTCAGGAAAACATAAATTATTATACTCCCCTGTGAATCAGTTAGGCACTTCTTGTCGGCCAACCTGGAAACTTGTTTACCACGATTGACAAGATCTAACAATTCGTTCAATTCGTTCTTGATTTCAAAGATTCTGAGAGTTAAAGGAAAAAGTGTTGCTTGTCGACCATTTATCGAATTTGAAGCGTTCCGTCCGATTTTTATTTATTTTTGTTTTTGGTTGGCCTTTAAATTTAAAATTTATAAGTATTTTGAATGAAACTCCCAAGTTTTATGTTGGGGTATAACCCATTTGTTTAGATAATAACGTAAGATTTTTAAAATGATTGGGTTAACCTGAGGCCGAATTTAAAGAATTTGAGCCGCGGCTCAAATATGGTTGGTTCTACTTTAAATTGTATTAAAATTTTGAAGATTTTAGCCGGCGCTCAATTGAAACCGGTTTTTGGGCGATTTGAGACGCGGCTTAAATTCATTAAATTCGGACACTGACCATATTAAATGATATTTTGAACCATAACATTGATAATTGTCATCTTCTTGAAGTGTTTTACCCGATTCACTAAACCTGGGTTCCTATCCCAGGTGTAATTACGATACACGGTTTTAAATTTCCGGCTCTGAATGAATATGTCCGGTTTTCTAAACTGAGTAAGAAAACAAGGTTCAATTTTAATTTCCATATCCGACTTTAAGATGTTGAAGAGATATTCGTCGAGAAATATGCTCGTTTGAGCTTGGCTTGGTGCGTCTAACACTGACAATTAAGGAGACCTGATACTTATTTTTAATTTTGCTTAATTATTAATTTAAAGAAATAATTTTTCAGGCAGAGTTGGATCGATTGTTGTCATCTGAAAACGACCACGGACCTCATCTTTCGTAAGTTTTTTTCTTGAGGGAGCCTTAATTTTCAACATTTAGTTTAAATGGACGTAATTTCTTGTGACCTTACAAATGATTCACAGGGTACTCGTAAAGTTTAAACCGTTGTCCAATAATGAGATATTGATTGTGGATTTATTTTGCAGAGATAACATGGAATAGGCTATATTTTCCAAAAGTTAACCAGATAGAGGAGTACCGTTCTCAGTCAGACATGTCACTCTTCAAATGAATTAAAAGAAATTTTGTCTTCAGGCCCTTAAAATAAATGATTTTTACATACCTTCAACTGTAAATTTATTGTTAATGTTAAAGTATTAAACGCGGAGTTAACCTTAATTTGATTTTTAAATCATGTTTATTTTTCTCATGCAGTATATTTTTATATTTTCTTCCTTTGCAGACATGAAGAGATTACGACAGCCCGTAGAAATCTTGGAACTCAGGGGGTCGAAGTTGACAACGACATAATTAGGAATAATGACATCTTTATTTAAATTTGCACTTGTGGTTATCGGCAAATTAAGATTTTTTTTTTAATATTTCGATTTCTATAAATTTAATGGAAAACAAATCTCCCATGGATTTCAGGTTCGATATCATTCAAAATATGAAAAGACTTTGACAACCTTGAAATCACTGTAACACAAGTTCTGTATTTTTGCGTAAATAATGTTAATCTTGAAAACTTAATCTCGATATTCAACTTGACACTTTTAAATTTGAGGATCAATGTTTGATTCCTCAATTAAAACTATGTTTGCAGGGTATGATCAAAACGGGATATTAATCCGTTGGTCTGGATAAAACGGATATCATTGTCTGATCCATAGATTCACAATTCAAGGTCCGAGTTATGTTAAGAAAATTAATTTTGTAAGATAATGCCTTACGAAGATAAACGAACAAATGATAGCTTAAGCAAATTATACATTAAAGAATTAATACTTAACCTACACCAAAGCCCTGGTTTGAATGTCGTCTTCGTTTCTACAGAGAGACCTGGTATCCAGTATTTAGACGACACTTTCTTCGAGGAGCACTTGGTAGGTGCTACGATTGTAGGAGAGGATACTGGATGTATCAGCAGGTAGGATAAAGAAATCTTCCAGACGATTGATTGATTAATTGATTTATTATGTGATTGATTGATTAATGTATTGATTGATTAATGAATTGATGGATTGATTGGTTGGTGGATTGATTGATTTATTGATATTTCAAGGGAATGGAAACTGAACTAGAATGCGGAGATATTGTTTTATTCTGGAGAATCCAGCAGATGCTCAGAGTAACAGCTAATGCACTTAGACAACAGGTGATTCATATTTTAATTGAATGTCACATTTATAATTTTTACAATAAAATTAATTGGCACATTAATAGATAATATCTCACTTAGTATGCAGTTAAATAAATTGAACTTTTCTATTGACAGGACGTTTCATGTTTGTCATCCAAACAACAATTGATAAATGGGACTTTCCAAGACAGGACGTTTCTTATCAGTCATACACACAACAGTTAATATATTGGACTTTCCAAGACTGGACGTTTCTTACCAGTCATGCACACAACAGTTAATATATGGGACTTTTCAAGACAGGACGTTTCATATCATTCATGCATACAACAGTTAATATATTGGACTTTCAAAGACGGGACATTTCATATCATTCATGCACACAACAGTTAATATATGGGACTTTCAAAGACAGGACGTTTCATATCAGTCATGCACACAACAGTTAATATATTGGACTTTCAAAGACAGGACGTTTCTTATCAGTCATACACATAACAGTTAATATGTGGGACTTTCAAAGACAGGACGTTTCTTATCAGTCATGCCCACAACAGTTAATATGTGGGACTTTCCAAGACAGGACGTTTCATATCAGTCATGCACACAACAGTTAATATATGGGACTTTCCAAGACGGGACGTTTCATATTTGTCATGGACATAAAAATTAGTATATGGGACTTATGAAAGACGTGACACCTCATATATTCATACACATTACGATTAGTATATGGGACTTAGGAAAGACAGAACGTTTCATAGATTGAACATTTCATTTGTCAAACCGGGGGTTGGTATTCAAAAATTGAATAATTTTCAAGCTTAAAAGGAAAATATCAAAACCGCTTAAAATATTTTAGTTTCAAAATTGTATTGACTTTCAGATTTTGATTCAAAAATCACAAACTGAAATAAATTATTGCAGATTTTTATATTTTCAAAATGAAAGATATTAAAAATTTAGACTTAGACCGTCATGAACCGTTCATGGTGTTGTGTTAAATATCACTAAAAATATCGCCTGATCGGTTCAGCTGTTTTGACATTAATCTAACAAACAGTTTAAAAATGTCTCTCCTGCAGGTTATGAACAGAGAGGCTAGAAGACTGGAGAAGGAGATTAAAGAAGTTCTGGAGGAAATGTCCTCAGATGAAGAAATTAAGGTGATAAAATGAATAATATCTCACTTAAATTAAAGGGACTGTAAAGGAAAAATGAAAGGGGTATAGGATGAAATCCGAGATTTTCAGGAGTTGATTGAGACATATAAGACATCTATCTGATGTTCCTGTCTCGAGAAATTGACATTAAACTGTGTCAAAATTATACCAAAACGTTTTTAAGATTTGTAGTATTAAACAGATCATATTCAACAAATACGAAACCAATCTGAAAACAACGATATCCCAGAGGAGCCTGAGAAACACAAGTTTGCTCCTAATTTATTTGAATTTAATCATTTTCATGGTTAATAGATATAATAGATAATATTATTTATGCGTCCGGAACATGTCACCAGAACTCCAACCAATAACAGTGCAGTATTATTGTCACATGTCTTCGTCTGTATCACGTGACCAGTATACTGCACTGCTATTGGAGGGAGTCATGGTCACGTGATAAAGACGTATATCTTACATATAAACGTTTTTGTATAATTTGAACACAGTTTTATGTCAATTTCTCGAGACAGGAACATTAGATGTCTTATATGTCTAAATCAACTCATGAGATTCTCAGGTTTCAGCCTCTATACCCCTTTCATTTTTCCTTTTCAGTCCCTTAAAAGGGACTGCGGACATAATTTCAAGTGGTGACATGGAAACGCCTCAACACGGAATCGACTCAACACGGAAACGGATCAAAAATTATTTTTGAGGCATTATTGATATTCGAAATCTTCTCAAATTAAAAAAAATTATGTTACTCTATATTTTCTTTCTTATTTATTGTTTATTTACTTTGTTATTGCAAAATAAATAATTTTTTCCGTGAGACTTTAAAACCTTTATTTTGATAGAGAGATGTAGAATTAAGTGCATTTTCATAATAATACATTTGATGTGCGTAATTATAATAAAACTAAGGTTTACTTCATTCAATGACTTACAGCTCCAAATTTGACATCAAAAGAGTTGTCATGTATAGAAGCCAGTGCTTAGGATCTATTTAATTTTGATGCGGATTCGGATCCTGATCCTGGATCCGCACTGGAAAAAATTGTTACGGATCCAAATCCGGATCCAGATCCGGATCCAGGTTATTTTGTTTTTAATTTACTGAATTTTAGTAACAAAGCAGATTTTGTTGCTTAGACTTGATATTCGGAAATCGGGAAATTTTTTTTAATCTTTTTTCAATAGTTCAGATTTGGGTTTTGAGTGTAAAATTTTTTATTGGCCGTTTTTGGTTAATATTTTGCCCCTTGGATCCGGATCTGTGGATACGCATATTTTTGCGGACCCGGATCCGGATTCAGAAATCTAAAATCTTGCGGAGGATCCGGATCCTAAGCACTGAAGAAGCAATGTTGCTCAAAATGTATATTTCTAAAACTTTAAAGAGACAAGTTTATTCACATTTCGTCTTTCTATGACTTATTTTCGGTGATGGTGATGAACCTCTGTAGAGTAAAAAAATTAAATTTTGAGAAGTAAATATTAGGGTCCTCAGATTTATATTATTTTCCTAAATAATAGTAATGCATGGTGTATCAAAGTTTAAAATCCCCAGGCCAACTGCCTTACTGCCTAGGTAATGCCTGAAATTTTGATAATCAGTTAAGCTCTAATCAAGTTTATATTGAAACTAAAGCAGCCGTTATGAAGCTATTGGTAGCAGTCCTGAAGCTTCTGATAACATTCCTAAAGCTTGTGCAGTGGTAGCATTTCTAAAGCATTGTAGCAGTCTTGAACCTTCTAGCAGCCGGTCTGATTCGTCTGGTAGAAGCCTTGAAACTTCTGCTAGTTGTCATCAAGCTGTTTGTTGCAGTCCTGATGCTTCTGGCAGTAGTTAGTTCTGATTTTTCTGGTAGCATTTTTGAAGCTTCTGATAGCTGTCCTTGATGCTTCCTGTTTTACGAGTTGATCCATTGATGAGCTTTTCAAGATCAAAAGAAACCTTGATTTTTGGAACTACGAAATTTCCCAGAAAGAACGGAAAAGTCTGGTCACGGATAAAGTTTACAATGTGCTCAAGGAAGGGTTGTGTCATGGAGGAGAACTAGGTAGAGGTCTGCGTCACCCTAGAGGGTCTGCTTTGGGCAGAAGAGGTATCCCCATGCTCTGGATAATCTTCATTACCCACAAACCAAAATAGTCGAAAGGAACTGAGTTCCTGCAACAAACTCTTGTTTTAAAATTTCTATATCTTTGCAACCCGATGTTGTAGACCATGATTATTTTATGAATCTTTTTAACTTTGCAATTTACTAATTACTTAAACTTATTTTATTAAATTTTTTCGCACATATTATTATACCGACTTCAAAATTATTCCGATTGTGCACATAACTCTCCCTGTTAAAACCTTAAATAAATCCCCTAATTTAAGTTTGAATAAAAAGTTTTTGATAATATATGTTCTTTATTACTTAGTGTCAATGAATTAATTGTAAAATTTCAACCAAAGTTATATTTTCATGTTGTAAACTGTTAGCTAAAGATTATTATGAAGGTGCACTTTTTGAATTTTTGAATTTTATATTTTGTTCTTAGTTTGTATGCGATTTTGTTCTTAGTTTGTATGTGATTTTGAATAATGAATCATATTATGGGGGAAAAGTGTTATTTAGTTAGTTGACGCATTTTTAGGAGAGAGTTCTACAAATTTTATAATTAAATTTAATTTTAGGAAAAAGTTATTTTATTTGGGTTAATAAACCCTAACTGTATTTAGAAAAGTTGTTTGGGATTATTAGGAAGTTGGGATTTATTGTTATTGTTGTTCAGTAAAAAGTTTTTAGTTGTTAAGGGTTAGGGAAGCAGTTTTTGAATTAAAAACTGTTGTTGTAATGAAAACGTTCGGTTTATGGATTTTCGGAGACAGTTGTTAGGGTGTATGAACGCGTAATGCATTTCAGTATAAAGTTGTTAATGTTTTTAAACTGCAAATTATTTCGGGGAAAGGGTTTTTTCGAGGGTTCTCGACTTTTCAAAAAAGAAAAGTTTTTGGTTCAAATACTTAGATCCTCGCCTCCCTTGAACCAGTGGGGTTATCAATACTTATTTTTGTTTAAAATCTTTTTTAAGGTGCACTTAAAATGTCTGTTTTTTAATTGTATTTTAGGAAAGTTTTTTGGATTATGATCATTTATTGTATTTTTGGGTAGAATTATTTGCGTTTTCAAACTGTGTGAAAATATTTTGGTTGGTTAATAAGTAATTCATTAACTTTATATTTTAGGAGAAGCTTGAGGAGTTCATCAAAGCGTTGAATACAGGAGCTGAGTAGAAATAACAATCAGTCAACTTTTGGTGGGAGAAATTTTAAGCAGAACCAGTAAATGACCATTGGAGCGCACCGAGTATAGTCTCTTTGCGAGCCCGGGCACAGGGAATGTCACCGTGCTTATACATAACCTTGTTCTAGTCCTAATCACAATTTGACTCTTTAGACCTTCTTAAATTAGTTTTTAGATTTCCAGGCTTTTGTTATTTATTTTAGGGGGGGGGGGGTACTTAACATTAACTTTCCATCTATTTGTCTCTAGTTTTGTGATACAGCTTATTTCGATAAATTGGTGTAGAGCTATATTTTTTTCTGCTCTAATTGAAAAAAGTAAAATGTTGTTTAAATATTTCTTATTCTAAACCAGGAACTATTTGCAGACAACATGTCAATTAGTTTATTAAAACGAGAACTAGAACTGGAACTGGATACAATGGATCAGAAGAAACTTAAAACTGACAAAAAAGACGCTAAAAAGAAAGATGCTAAAAAAGACGCTAAAAAGAAGAAAGGAACGTTTAAGTTTAATGACAAGGATTATAGCAAAGAAGACGACCACACATTGGAATCATTGAAAAGCATAGGTAAGCTCAACATCTGATTAGAAGAGCGCAACTGGTTTATTCTGTAATGGGGGGGGGGGGAGGAATTAAATAGTGTTGTTAACTTTATCGAATATTTATATTTTTAAACCCTACATTTTGGCCATGTTTTTCAAAATTCGGAGTAAGATTTCTTCTTGAAGGGTACATATCCCAAAATACGATAAGTTGAGCAGTTTTATTATCCACATTTTCGCAGAATTCTCTCAATTTCCCTCTTTGTCTCTGCTGCAAACATCTGAAATTCACTTTAATCTGGAACATATTTAACTTTAAATAAAGGTTTAAAGGATGCTTTTGCAAATTGGATAATGGATATGAACTCGGTAAATAAAGCGTCACTTGAAATTATGCCGGCATATCGTTAAATAATGATAGTAATTGTATTATTTTTTAGGACTTTTAGACATGTCTCCTGTGGTCAACTCAGAAAAAATCTTGAAGCACACCCGGAAAATGAAACGACAAGAAGAACCGGAAGTTGTTGATAAATCCACCGGAAGTTTGTTCTCCGACGAAGATTTTGAAGTTGTGAGCAAACTACATTTTGTTAATTCTAGAAGAGCGGTCATCTTGAAAGATTGAATTTTTAATTTGTTTAATTTTGAAATTATATATTTTTTCAGAGAGTAATGGTAACAGTGCTACGAGATAAATTTGCAATACTGAGCTTGGGAATTATAGGTATAATTTTACTTTAATCTACAATTTTTTATCATTCTCCCACTGCACACGATATTTTTTCAACCTATGATCTTGTTTTTTTTTTTTTTTACCGCGAATTTTATTTTGTGTGGAAATATTAAAGTTTTCAAAAAGTAGATATTTTTTATGATGAAACAGAATTTTGGTTTGAAGCTTTTCAAAGTTTTTAACTGAAAGCAAATTTTTTTAGGTTTATTTGTTTTTTACTTCACTCTTTGGATTATATGTGTTCCGTTTGTGGAGGAAAGTTATCTTCCACTTATTTCAAGGTAAACTACTGTGTTAATCTCGGCTCGGGATGAAAATTTATCTCCTTTTATTTTAATTCTTGTTCAAAATCCCGTTGTGGTCAATGGTCAATGGTCATGCCCTGCAGGCATATCTTTAATTACGGGATGGTCAAGCATTAATCCTTAGATTAAAAAGTACCCCCCCCCCATTGTTCAAGATAAGCCGTACTCACCACCAAACTTCAAGTTGACTATTAAGAGAGGCATTGCTGATTCACAACGATACTATTAGAACTTCATCTTATTGTCTTTATTCTAGCTTTAAATCTTTTAATTCCCTGTTGGGTCTGAAGCAGAAATGCGACACCACAATTAAATATAATTAATTTTCACATAAGAGATAAAGAATAGTTCACGAATTTTGATCAGAAAAAGCTTCTCATGAAACTATCTCTGAACTTATCAGAATCATGCAATAAGTATTTAAATTCGAAATTTTTAATTGCAAAATGACGTTTTATAGATTGAACAACTGAACATAATGGGCCATAAAGATAAGAAGTCTACGGGCGACAAAGAAAACTTTTTTTTTCAGATCATTCAAAAATTAAAACAACGTTTGCATTGTTTTAAAACCTGGTTTGGCATAATAGAATTTTGACAAATCATAATTAGGATTCAGTCTTGACTTTTTTCATTTTAAACTGATTTTTTGGCGCTACGACATCTGCTCTAATTCCATTTGCTCTATGGCCATTTGCTCTAGTTCAATTTGCTCTATTAACCATTTGCTCTAGAGCTCATAGATAACGACGTTTGCTCTATATGTCATCTGCTCTATACGTCAATTGATCTATGACATAACACGTCATTTGCTCTATAAACATTTTTATGACTGTGATGGTTTAATTGCCTTACTCAACATTTGCTCTATGAGTAAGCACGCCATTTGCTCTATAAACATATTTTTACAATTTTACATTTTACAATTCATCCTACAGTTTCATTTTTCCGCCAACTTCCTGGAGATTTTATTTTATTATTATGAAGGTTTTAACCACGGCAGAACAATTCTGCCTTCTATATTTAAGACATCTCCAGTACTGATAGACACCCTGTTTCTTTAGAGTAGAATAAATGTAGTTTTCACCACATATTAGGTTTTTTTACCCCTCTTATTATTGAGTAGTCTCTCTGTCATGATGAACTTTGAAGAACTGATTAAAACTGCAATTTGCGAATTTTCCCCAAAAAAATTCCCGTATTTCATAGTCAAGTTACGCTCAGGAACTCCAATAAAAGCTAATTTATAGTGTATTTTTAGGTTATAGAGCAAATGACGTGTTTAGTCATAGAGCAAATGAGGTATAGAGCAGATTGAATATAGAGAAAATGACGTATAGAGCAAATGACGTATAGAGCAAATGACTTGATAGATCTAATGGAGCTAGAGCAAATGGCCATAGAGCAAATGGAAATAGAGAAGATGTCGTGGCGCCGATTTTTTACATTATTTAGAGTTATAATTGTTAAATTGAATGAAAATGTGAAGAACAGTTTTTTTGTTGTAGATTTTTCCCATCGGTCGAGGTTGGTTTATGTGTTCCTGCTGTACTGGGGAGCTGTACATTTCTCTTCCTGTACACAAGAGCGTACTTTCTTGTACTTCAAGGTACATGAAACCTTAAATACAAGGTGTACATTTATATTGTACACTAAGCATACTTTTAAGTAATGCTATGTAGTCGTCTTTCTTTCCTCTTTTAATCAATGTCGCTTAAATGATTTCAATATACCGGGTGTCCCACGAAACATGACAGTTGGTAAATAGTTTAGAATGTCTTTTTCCATAATTTGTTAAGTTGTTTGATACCAAAGATCAATAAAAATTTTATATGGAAGTCATTTTAAACTAAAATTGATTTCAAAGAAAAATATGTCATGTTTCGTGGGACACCCTGTATCTGTTAAATAATGATTTAGTTTTTTTGCGAAAATTATTTATTGATGTTTCAATTTCTTAATTTTTAGACCGAGCCCTAGATGAAGTGAAACTAGTTAAAAAGTCATGATGAAAATGATAGGTGAACATTTTATAAGTGTTTAAAATAATTTAATAGATGCTTTAAGTAGGACTGTAATTTGAAGGTCGCTCGATATTACGTGTTAAGTCCCGTACAATCAAAATTTAGTGGCAGGCAACAAAAGCAGATTTTTTACAAATGAGATGAGTATGTTTAAACTCATATTTCTTACTGTGACTCATTAGGACAGCACAGAACTAGTTTTACTTGGTTAATATTGATAGTCGAGGCTTAGTCAGCCACCGAGCCTTATTAAGCCTTGTCCTTGTTTACAATCAGTTTTATTCTTTGCTAAAAATAAAAAAACTAGTTAATTAACTTAACAAATGGACTTCTATGCATCATATTGATATATTGACTTTAGAATAGCCTTTCTTATTGTTTTTTCCTCTACAGTATTGTTTTCACTGCAAGAAATTTCATTACTCAAGGTTCTTTTGAAATGTTAAATGTATTTATTTGTGCTCTTCAATAAGTCTTAAAGAGGGAGGGATGCTCCATGTATGATGTAACTGCACGGTTTTAGAAAATAAAGGTTAAGTTTATGACCTTTTATTATTTTAATGTTTAAGTGGTCGGTCTTAGTGGCGCCTCGTGTACAGGGAAGACGACAATTGGAAACATCCTTCAGCGTATTTTCACAAACTCGAGGTAGTGAACAAAATCTTAATTTTCTTGAATAAAGATTGACTTATTTAGGATTTTTATGTCAATTTATAAGATAAAAAAAAAACAATTCCTTTTTAAAAGGAATTGTAAGCGTAATTTTCAAGAGACTATTATTTATTCTTATTTAATGCCCTTCTTCCTAGGTTTAAAAGATTTTAATTCTGTTAAAAAATATATTTTTTCTGGCAGCATAAATGCGCATGTCCCTTTTTTAGAGAAATTACAATTGTCAACAATCATAACTCAAAACCGTAAACATTGATATCCAATTCATGCTTGATCAAACAAAGCTTTAAAATCGTGAATCGTGAGTAGCTATCATTGGAGGGTTCTCTTGAAATTACGCTTGAAGACCAAGTTAAATCATTGTTTTTGAGCCCTAAACTTGTAATTTTGAAGCAATGGGAATCCTACATGCAGTAGTCATTTTATTTTTTCTGTTTTTTAGGGTTTTCAATCAAGATGTTTATTACTGGCCAACTGAGAGTAAACATCACTACAAGTAAGGCATTTTTACTCTAAATTGAACCCAAATGCAACCCTTAACCAGGTTTAATTTGCGGAGCTGAATTTATAGTTCGAGTTAACAGAAATCTCATAAGACAGATCAAGTAATTTTTTGGTCGACAATCTTAGGATTTGTGGTATCAAGGATTTCTTTATAATTTTTTTCGTTCAATTGGTGAAATTGAATGATTTTTGGGGAAACTAATGCTTTTTTTGGGAAAAGTATTTAAGATGTCCAATTTTTATGTCCCCCCCTCAATTTATTAAAACTTCTTTCAATTAAACAACTCAGTTCTGATCCGATGCCTCTAAAATTCCTAGTATCGCTTAACTATTGACATTAACCCTATTTCATCCAAGGGACCCCCCCTAACGTTTCTTGTAGACAACTTTAAAAGTGTTTATCTGGTGCTGTTCACAGACTAAATCTATATTTAGACCTACTTCCGGTTACATATTATAGCTCTTAAGAAAGCTTTGAACAAAATAAGGTTGATTGCACAATTTTTGCGAAGAAATTTTGCATAGATTTTTGCAGAGATTCCTTTAAAGGGAATTTGCTCATTTTCAGTTTTCCTTGTATACATATTTAGTGTTTGTAAATTTTGCTAATACTTTTGCACATTTGAATTCGCCTTGTCTAAAATGTATAATTTATCATATTTGGCGTACTTTTTGTTTTTTCACATCTTCTGTTTAATAACTTGATGTTACAATTGCAGTAAGTCCTCAATTGGTAATCACCGCCACCTAAACGTGTTTTGCGGCATGCGCGTTCCTCTAGGTATTCAGAAATAAAAATTTATTTTTAAACCGTTTATTTCTTAGAAATAAGATCATATTGACCTCTGTTAAGTGTTAATGGCCCTATGCTGTACAATATTGTTAAAGCTTTCTTTATTGCCCCTTATTTTAGAAAATAAATCGGAAATAAGTACGCCACATGAAGCGCTAAGAAAAATTACGAATCTTAGATCCAATTCGCCAATTTAATGACTGCATTTCATGGTTGGAGTTTAAATCCTATGAGGTCGGACTGCCTGTTATCTAAAAAAATATCTCACCGACTAAAGTATTATCAATCTCCATTTAGACGATATTTAAAAAAAAACTTTTCAATTCTTAGATTTTTGTGTTCGCCTAGTCGAGTTCAACATCTACAACAGAACTAATTACATGCATAGAAAGAAGAAAAATTTTTTTAAAAAATCGGTCTCATCGTGGCCACTAGTGAAAATAAAGTATTGATTTCACTTATTATTTTTAGCGCTTCATTCATTGCTAATTGAGGAGCGCGCCGGCGCAAAGGTTCAAAAACTTAATTTAATTTCTTGCGGTTCATGTGGCAAATTTGTACATTTATTTTCGAAACTAAGGAACAATAAATAAGCTAATTAAGAATTTTGTACACCAAAGTGTGCAGTTAACAGAGGTCTATATTGGCATTATTTCTTAGCAATAAGCGATTTAATATGTTACCCTTTTTTTTGCTGATTACCAAATAAGGTGGTGGAGATTACCAATTGAGGACTTCTGCACTTCCCCTCCCCTTGTCCTAGGGAACCCTCACCCCCCTCACCATTTGGGAAAGAATCAAAAGGACACGTCTCCCTGGTCATAAAGCCCTGCGTACACTTTAACCTTCTATAATTTAATGTATACTGTAACCTTTGTATTCAAGTATTTGTACTCAGGGATCCGGAAACCGGTTTCATTAATTGGGAACTTATCTCTGCATTCGATATGAATTCACTAGTTGCAGATCTTACTGACGAAACAAGGTAAAAATCCTTAAAAATATTAATATATCTCGGGTCTTCCTTAGAGAACGATTTTTGTGGGTTTTACGGTTTTTAAGATGTATACGAATGTTCATTGGGGCCAGATCATTAAATCTGTCATCGTTCATGCTGGCTTTTTGTTAAAGCATATTAAAGTATCTGCTGGAAAACAAGTTACTTTTAGGTTAGTCTCCAGAAAAGGGGGGTCAAAAGATACTCTTGACCTCCCCTGGATCTGCGCCTGACTATACCCCTTTACTTCTCTTGTAGCCTGCAAAAGTTCTGTCAGGCCGATAGAATCCTTATTTTATCTTGACATTCTTCTATCATACTATGCAATGTCTTCTTAGGTCGTCAGTTTTCTTTACCCTTAAATGTCATTTTTTGTAATGCCTATAAGAAGTAACATGTCATTCATTTAAATGGATTTTTTTTGACAGAACATAGATAAAGTAGACTGACTAGTGACTTTCTATAAACTAGCAAGGAGAAAATAGTGAGAATTTCAAAAATATTAATTATTTTTTTTTATCTTAATATTGATATTCGCCATTCTTTCTTTCCTTTCTGCAGGGGGGGGGGGGCCCGAAGGCCCCCACCTTCTAGTTACGCTTCTGAATTCTTTGAGTTAAAATACACGTTTACAAACTTTACGATCGTATTCAAAGAGAAGCTGTCAATACATCTTTTCTTTGTTTCCATTTTATCTGTATCCTGTTAAAAGCATCAAAATTGCAATAGACAGTACTCTTCACTGTATTGGTATATACGACGACGACTTTAGTGGTTTTGTTTTCAATAATAATATTTTATAATAATCATAATGTCATATTACTGATATTAATCTTTAAGGGACTGTAGACTTAATTTAAAGTGGCCACATATTTATGCAGTGGCATTACCAATTCTGTCGAGATGGTTTTTTTCCTATCTTAGAATTAATATTTGGATTCGTGTTACAGCGACAATAAAGGAAATTGTTTACGATAGTAAATGAATCCTCATTTTTACTCAAACAGAAGTTAAAAGGGTACTGATATGAGTGTCTATCGAAAAAGCCACCTCGTCACATCTTCAAACACTTATATTTTACTTAAAAATCTTTCAAAATTATATTCTTTTTAGTTTTATAGAGAAAACGAACCAATTTAATCAGTCGGATGAAAAATCGAGTTCCTTCAAAACCCAGCATAAACTATTTCCGAATTACTGGTCTAAAGAAGAGTTGTTTCAGGTAAGGTTTTCTTTAGAAAATTCCAACCATTTTTTTCTGTAGAAGAAAGTAAGTCCTAAAAATGTTAACTTGAATTCCCATGAATTCTTTTAAGATATTTTGGTATCCGCCCAAAAATTCTAATTCTTGTATCTTTTTCATCGAATGCTGGGTTGTCCGATAATGATAATAATAATAATATTTTAAATTTAGGATCCTGGATCTGTTCATCCCCTTGTCACTCCAGGGAACTTTGATGGGATTAAACTGGTTCTTGTCGAGGGTATTCTAGGTACAAATAAATATGTAAATGTTAATACTATTACACCATCCTAGTATTTATAGTATTTTTTTATAATATATTTCTAACTTTTAAACGATATCTAATTGTTTTAAGAATAATAACTTTAATGGTTTTTTCCCTCTGGAATATAAGTATGTTTTCAGTGCTCAATGATCCCCGGGTGGCTGATCTCTGTGATTATCAGATCTTCATTGAACTGGATCGAGAAACCTGCTGGGACCGACGTCGGCACCGAACCTACGATCCTGAGGATCAAATCGGATATTTCGATGCCGTTATGTGGCTCTGGTATCTCAAGAATCTAGAAGACCTAAAATCGGCCGGCCGGCCTATTTTTTATCTTGATGGAAAAGATACCATTCAAGAAAATACCTGCCATGTTCTAAATCATATATTCAAGAATTCACATTTTAAATAGTAATTTTGTCACATCGCAATTCATTAAATGTCGGAGGCTGTGATTAAAATATTTCGAAACTTTTTTGTTGAAGTCGCAAGGATGCCTAATTGTATCTGTTTGCATATTATTCTATAAATTTACATTCAGTTCACGTGAAGTGTAGCACCGTATTTGTAACACGTGTTGTACCGTTGTTGTAACTCATACAGGATCATATCTTTGTAACACGTGCAGTATCGTAACTGTGTGCTACCATAGTTTCGTACTCGGTAAAGTATAATAACTTAATATATTTCAGAAATCATGGTTAAGGCAGTGTGTGTGCTCAAGGGGGAGGTTGTCAACGGAACCGTTCACTTTGAACAGGTTTCAACCTTTTTAAAGGATAAATATTCCGTCAGTGTCGAATTAACCAATTTGAACTGCCTACCGCCGTTTTTAAATTTGAATAATCTGTTACTGAATCGGTGCTTCAAATTTTAATCGGCAGTAGGTAGTTTAGTGAAGTAGCTCAAATTCATTGAACAATTTCCGTAAACATTCTTTTTCTTATCAAATGTCATATGTGTTTGCAGGGTTACCTTCAAAGGATCAGAGACGATTGTAAGGATTTTTTTTCAGCCATTACATGTTTGCATTTAAACGTATTTCATTCTTTGAGAAATCATTTAGTTATTCATTATTAACTATATTTTAAGTTAAGTTCAACCGTTAAATTTTGAGTTTCAGATCGTTTAAAGTCTCGCCTGTTGATGGTAACCCTGTAAAAAGATTTGATTTGATTTTGGTACATTCAATGAAACATTTGGACTAGAAGCGATTTACTCCTGGTTTAAAGTCGTAGTGCGTTTTTTAATTACCCCCTCATGCTTTTCCCCCTTGTAAAAAAGGATTCAACTACTGTTAAAACTTCCAGTTCAAAATAAAGCATAACATTATTTTGTAGAATTTTCTTCATAAATATGGTGTAGGGCTTAATAATTTCTCGGAAGTATGCATTATTAACGTGAACGGATGAAAAACTCGGTATTTTCAATCTTGTCATTAAATTATATATTTAAAGGAGGGAGATGGCCCTGTTACTCTGTCCGGAGAGTTGACTGGTCTCTCTGATGGTCTTCATGGATTCCATGTTCATCAGGTATTTTTTTTCCTGTTCGTCCATAGTTTATGGTATTACTACAAAGACGATAAATAAAAGCATGGCTATTAGAGAGACGGGGCTTCCCGCAGTAAATTGATTGTGTAATATTTACCATTTTTAAGATTTAATATGTTGAAACTTGTTCGCTTATGTCATTTATCATTTTCAGTCTTTTAAGAATGTGCTTAGTCGACCGCTTTTTATCTTTAAACTTGAAAGAAGACTTCATTATGTTAACTTACTACTCAATTTCAATTTATTTATCTTGAAATTTTGTTTAGTTTGGAGACAACACTAACGGATGTATGTCTGCTGGTCCTCACTTTAACGTTGATGGTTCCGAGCACGGAGCTCCAACTGATGCCAAGGGAGCCCGTCATGCTGGAGATCTGGGGAACGTTACTGCAGAGGGAGGTGTAGCTAAGGTATATCTAGCAAAGATAAATGCATACTAAGTTTACTTTTAAAAATTAATTGTTTTCAATTGAAAGAGGACTCGAGGTTTAATATTGAGTAGTCAATTGAACATGAGAAACATTAATTGTAAAATGTACACTCGTACACAGGCCTTAAAGATACTGGTTACACTTCTTGCTCTTCAAAAACATATGATTGCATAAATGAAGTTGTCCAATTCCACAGTTGAAATGGTCCCACTGTACAGATTTTTAGGAGAAATAAGCAAACAGGCTAAATATTGTTTATTAATTAAGTACGCTGTAAACGTTACCAAAAATTTAGGGTTCCTGTTGGTTCCTGCATTACTATAAAACTACTGATTAAATTATCTCTGTAAAGTAGATCATTTGATGACTATATCATTTGATTAGGAGATAATTTGATCAGTGGATCATTTGATCAGTGGATCATTTGATGATTAGATCATTTGATGATTAGATCATTTGATGATTTAATCATTTGATTATTAAATCATTTGATGATTAAATCATTTGATGATTAAATCATTTGATGATTAGATCACTTGATGATTAGATCATTTGATGATTAGATCATTTGATGATTAGATCATTTGATGATTAGATCATTTGATGATTAGATCATTTGATGATTAGAACATTTGATGATTAGATCATTTGATTTGATCATTTGATGATTAGATCGTTTGATGATTAGATCGTTTGATAGAGATAATTTTATCAGTGGATTATTTGGTCCGTGGATCATTTATCATGAGATCGTTTGACTAACTATCGATCCTAGGTTGAGATCAGTGACGCTATGATCAGCCTGAGCGGTGAGAACTCAATCATTGGGCGCACCATGGTCATTCATGCTGATGAAGATGACCTTGGTCAGGGTGGTCACGAGCTCAGCAAGAGCACCGGTAAGCAAATAAATAAAAGTGTTCTTATCATCTTGTTTTCCTTAAGATTTTTATTTCATTTTAATAAAATGTCGTATCTTTTTTAATTAACTTTTGATGGGAAATTGTTAATTGATGGATTTGCTGAATTGTTTCATGTAATTTTTACGTTTTCTATTTGTCTAGGAAATGCCGGAGCTCGTGCTGCCTGTGGCGTGATCGGTATCGCCAAGTAAGGTTAGCAATTTTTTTTTAAATTTTGACATTTAAGTAGAATTTTATTTAAGCTGTCACATCATTAACCTCTTAACGTTAAAGTATTTTAAATGGGGTAATTACTTGGATTTAATGAATAGCTATAAGAAGTTATACCTAGATAGTTACTAATTCTTTAAAATAATTGTTTGTATAAATTTGTTTGCAAATCTAAGTTCAACAACACTTTATTTTTAGGCGACAAGACAGTAAGCTGTAGTGGACCTCAATATGTAAACCTAGATGTGATCCCTGTGTTTGATTTGATTAAATATTTAAAAAAATATCCATGAATTCTAAAAAAAAATGCACTTATTTATAATTGTTATCAGATATTTTCAAATCGTAAAATGCAGCATTTATTGAATTGCGTTTTGTTGATTTTTTAATAATACTCTTAGTCTTCAGTCACACATTTGCTTGTAAAAATTCCCGCGTGTTTTTATTTAAAGCTAATTGGTTTCCGCACTTTCAGACAGAATGACGCGTTTTGCGCGCAAAACCAACGCTCGGGTATGTAGTTTTTAAAATTATTTTTTATGGGTTTAAATGTTTTTAATTACTACCCCCACCCCCTAATATCTTGACTTAAAGTAAATTTATTCCAATTTTTGATGTTTCATTGCTGAATTTTAAAAGATAGAAAAACATTTAATGGGATTTTCAATATTTTCTTTCTTAAAAGCAGAAAGAAGTCAGTTTACCTTGTGCTTAAACGACGTTAAATGGCTGTCATTGTTAGATTGGATAATTATGAATAATTATGATCAGGGTTCTACGAAACGAGAACCTGAAGAAGCGACGCCATGGTCTCAAATGGTCTCACAGATTCGGAATACAAGGTGTTTGATATTATCTATATATCTACTTTATCTCCCTTGCCTTGGACTAATTGTTGGGGTTTTAAAGGTCCAGTTAGAACAGGGGCGGGGCGGTGCTTTCTGCGCCTGGGCGGTCTGGTGGGTCCACATTGGGGCCTCTTGCAGATTTCACTTCCTTATGAATCCTTATGATATTATCTGTGGAGGATACAGTTGGATACATAAAACTGAGGAATAGGAGGATAACTGGCTGACTTAAGTTAAGATTTTGAAGGATGTATCACAACCTTTATGCAGTAAAGTACACTTCAGTTGAATTAAACTTCTGGTAAAACTGGTTAAAACGCCATCAAATTCACATTCTAAATGTCGTCTTCCTATTCCAAAGTTTCATGGGTACCACATATTAAAGTTTTTTAGAGGAGGATGATAAAGATATGGATGTTGTTGAATACATTTATGTTATATATATATTATATAGTAGAGGGGTGGAGGCATGAGGATAATAATGAATTTATGAATGTAGTGGAATATATACATATATATATATTATATAGCGGAGAGGTGGATATATGGATGTAGTTGAATATATATCATCATTCATCATCCTCTACACCTCCGATATATAATATATATTCCACTATATATGGAGGATGATGATGAATATATGGATGTAGTGGAATATATATATATATTATATAGTGGAGGGGTGGAGGATGATGATGAATATATGGATGTAGTGGAATATATATATATATTTTATAGTTGAGGGGTGGATGATGATACGGATCCGGATCCGACCAAATGATACGGATCCGACCGGATCCGGATTCGGATCCGGATCCGAAACACTGGTAAAAGGCATTTGAAAATGTCCAAATTTAAAATTTGAATCATAACTACTCACACTCACAAGACCAGGCTTAATTTATATTTTGGTAAAGCCATTTTTATCTGAAGTATGAATGTTGGACATTCCTTAACGTCTAGTATGATATGATCTGTCGAATCTAGAAACTAACACTGAAATAAAATTATCTTTTTAAGTTTTTTTTTATCTCCCGTCGATTTAATTTCAAGGGACTCTTTATTCAAAGAGGCACATGTCTGATAAGGATAGTCTTTAAACCTTTATCCATTCATGATAGGAAAAAATGGGAAGCTCCATTCTTCTGCTCACAACAGTTTTAAGGCTGACGTTATGAATAGGGCATGTGTAATTCTATTAACAGAGATTCCCTTGGAACTGCATAGTCAGTCCCTTTGAGGAAGCTCCAGTTACACTTGATAAATCCAATTAAGGTTTAATAGTTATACTAACTGAACAAGAATCAAGATTATCTGGTTTTTATATGATATGAATTGGACATCAAATTACTTTAAGAAAATGCCAAATCGAATTGTTTGACGTTTATTTTAATGCAATGGTGAATTTAAGTATTTTAGTAATTTTGAAATTATTAAGTGTCCACGAAAGTCTCCGAAGAAGATGAGGATGAAAGCGAGGATGATTTCGAGGTCAAGCTTGAGGAAGAACAGGAATTGGAATCGGGGAAGAATTCTCTTAAGCGGAAACCGGAACTAGTCTTGGCAGAAGAACCAGCGAAGAAGAAAAAAAAGAAGAGACCGGAGAAGTGCAAGGTCAGGTTTATATTGTATTATTTTTACTATGGTAACTTGGTAAGTAAAATTTTATATATAAGTTTAAACTTTTGATGTGATTTGGTTTGTCATATTTGAAAATTTATTTATGGTTTTTGGAATTTGGATTTTGAGAATTAGAAATGTAGAAGTTCTGTTTAATATGATATGGAACAAGATTGAATACTAGTATTGGGACCAAAAGATTATAATAAGAGAAGAGACAGGACAAAACATATATCAAATAACAAAGAAAAAATACATAAAAAATTCGTAAATATTGACTTTAATATTATCTGCATAATAATGTGAAATATCCTTATAAAATCATGACAATTATAGGAAATTCTTCTATCTTACTCCACCAGGAGTCCTACGAGTAATCCAAACATAAACCTTAACAATATTCATAGACATGGACATGGACATGGATAAACCTTAACAATATTCATAGACATGGACATGGACATGGATAAACCTTAACAATATTCATAGACATGGATATGGACATGGATAAACCTAAACAATATTCATGGACATTATTCAGATTTGTGGTTCTAAAGAGCATCGGAAGATGGATTGTGGAGAACTTCCTGAAGAGCGTAGAAAAGAATTACAGGTTAATTTCTTAAAATGGGACAAAACTGTTAAATAAAAAGACGACCTTAATGGCGTGCAATGTAACCGAACATATTTCTCCTAACATGTTTATTATTAATTCTTTGTTTTAACAATTTGATTTGTTAACAACACTAGATACACATTTCTTTCTTAATAGAATTGAATGTTGTAATGAAAAAAAAAACATATTATGGATGGGAAAATATTCAATTTAATCCAGCAATCAACACAACACTTAGTACTTCATTGTTTCCTTTTGTCTAAATGAATACAAAAATTGAACCAGCTTTTGTTTTAGGATCTTTTTAAGATGAAAGTAGAAAGGAAGGGAAAGGGTACAGGTCGGAAGAAGAATAAACGAAAGGACAAACTACCCTACGAAGAGACGGATCCTAAACCTGACTCCGAAAACAAAACCAACGAAGATTCCATGTCAGAAGAAAAATCCACGAAAAAGAAAAAGAAGAACAAACCGCGTAAACCCAGAGAGCTGATTCGAGACCGTTCAGGGGCTGTTGTAGAAGAGGGTGAAGCAATATTTCAAGGATTTAGGTTTGGTTTAAACTTTATATTCTTCCAACATCAGTTGTCATTTTGATATGATTTTAATTGCAATATTCTAGGGTACGGAAAGAAGATGAGAAAAAGCTGAAAACACTGTACAAGGAGTTAAAAGAAAAGGGATTATCCAAAAAAGAACTGGACGAGGCTTTGAAACGAGAGCGACGAATTGCTGAGAAGAGTTTAGCTCGATCCAAGAAGTTAGTTTGTTTTAAATGTCGTCAGCCTGGGCATATGCTCGCTGATTGTCCATTAGCAGTTGATACAGATAAACATCCCGGTTCAGGTCAGAATTCAGATTAGGGATTGAGTGTGTTCTATGAGGGATTGAGTAGTTCAGGGAGGGATCAAATAATTTAGTGTTGGAATGGGATTGATTAGTTAAGGAGGGATTGAGTAGTTCAGAGAGGGATTGAGTAGTTCAGGGAGGAATTGAGTATTTTAGGGAGGAATTGAGTAGATCAGGGAGGAATTGAGTAGATTAGGGAGGAATTGAGTAGATCAGGAAGGAAATGAGTAGATCAGGGAGGGATTGAGTAGATCAGGAAGGGATTGAGTAGATCAGGGAGGAATTGAGTAGATCAGGGAGGAATTGAGTAGATCAGGGAGGAATTGAGTAGTTCAGGGATTCAGCTTAGAGAGGATTCAGATTAGGAAGGAAGTTAGTTAACTTGAGGGATGTAGATAAGGTTATTATAAATTGTTCATGAAAATATAATACTTGATTTCAAGTGATATTGATTTATTTATTAGATTTATCTAGATAACATATTTTGTCCATTTCAACAGTTTTAAATTTAGGTTTGTGCTATAAATGTGGTTCCTTGGAGCACACCTCAAAGGATTGTAAGAGTAAACTGAAGAAGGAAAATGCATATAATTTTGCAGTTTGTTTTATTTGCAAACAGGAGGGACATCTTGCTAAAGCCTGCCCAGACAATCCTAAAGGAATGTTTTCATGGCATTTTTAACGGTGAAATATTTAGATTTTTGAAATTCAGTCTGTTTGTGCATTGTGTTCCAAAAAACGGCTAACAAAGCTCCTTAAATTGGATTTAAAAAATTTTAAAAAATTATAGTTTTTACCCTGAAAGATTATCACTATAAACCCTGATCTGGAACTTCCCTAGGTATAAATATTGGATGTACAACTTCTTGTAATATAAAATTTCTTTTTATTTTGTCACCGCTTAAGGATCATTGTAAACGTAAGACTCAATTTATTTGGTATCATGTCTAATATACTACGAACCTTTTTCTGATTTTGAATTAAGATTTTTCTGTAAACGTGACATGCTGATTTAGACTGCAGACAGTAGAGAAAATTTCGTGAAAATTTCGCTGAAAATGACGTTCTTTTTAAAAGGATCAACATATTTCCTATTTTAATTTGAGAGCCATGAACTTATGAAACCCGCAGGTTTATACCCTAAGGGCGGTGGTTGTGTATTCTGTGGATCTGTTGAGCACTTGAAGAGGGATTGCATGAGGAAGGTTGCCAAGGACCTGAAGGCCGGAGTCAAGGTGGAGATGATGGGAGACAACCTGGAGGACGAACCTTCACGGGACTTCAAACCAGTGAAAAATAAAAAGCGGATAAAATCCGAGAAAATTGTTGCATTTTGATTTTGTTTGTTTGTTTTCAGACAGAAGAAATGGATGATTTGCCAAAAGATATACAAATTGGTCCGTTTTTGAAAAGTCGGGTCAAAGTAAGAACATAATTTTACATATTCTTATTATTTTTTATTTATTTTTTCAATGAATTATTGAAATATTTGTATCATTTTAGACAATTTTTACTAATTCAAACTTTTCAGCTCTAAATTAGTCATTATTTTACTATGTTTATGGTTTAATACTGTTATTTATTTTTTAGAATTTTGTTTTCAAAAACCCATTCCATCTATAGTCCTTAGAAATGTGTTTTGCTTCTTCTTAATTACTTCATCAGAGAACATATAGATTACAAAAAGAGAAGTAAAATGGCCCCTATGATATTAAAAGAAGAGGTTATCAGGTTTTTAAGTATTTATGCGTTATTTCTTAATAAAAATCTACATTAAATTGGACGATTTATCTTTCCTGGATATTTTGAAGAAAATAAATGAACAAGAATAATAAAAAACCTTTTTTTTTTAACTTTATCAATTTATTTATTTTTAATTTTTTTTTTATGAAACAAATTATTTGATACATGTATTTAATGCAGAATGCAGATAATCATTTTTCCAATCTTCTTGTTCACTGGCTGTCCTGTTATGCTCGTTCAATTAGCTGCATACCCCCGCCCCCCAGGAGGGTTATTATTACCGTATAACCGTTATTATAATAATGCAAATGCAGAATTCCAATGCAAATTTTGAAGTCTTTGAAAAGAAGGACGTCCCTAAAAGTCTGAACTAATAACTTTATATTATATAGTTATGTTTTAGGAACTGTCAGGGTTGGCCTACGTCGTCTCATCTGATTTAAAGCATGGAAAGCTTGCCAGCCAACAGGTATACTTAACCAAATAATTAATAAATTTTTAAATGAATTAATTTCTGCAAAAAACAATAAGATAGTTATCAATGGAGTTGACTAAGCTGAGATTGACGATATTATTAATTTTATATGCACGACCTAATTACAGTATGATTTTGTTTCTTGTATTTGTATTCATTTTTGATATATACTCTTATAGTTCTTTTTTCTTATGTTTAATTGTACCAATTATTTAAATTGTGTACGTTTACGAAATAAATAATAATAATAAATTCAAATACATGTGCCATATTGGATTCAACATTTTAAGGTTCCGCGGCATATGCGACGACGGGCTGTTAGTCATGATGTTCGTCGTCTTCCACGAAGACTAAGGTATCATTTTCGGTTTTTTGGTCTGGACAATTTTTATATTTATTGATTACGTCCATTTTATAGAAACTTTTTTCAGAGATAAGTATCTGAAAGAGAAGAACCAAGGTGGTGGGAATGTTCCTGCTAGTAAACGACCAAGCAGACGACACAGGTAACAGATCTGGATGGGATGGGATGGGATGGGATGGGATGGGATGGGAGGTTTAGGGCATTAATTTCAAACTCCACACCTGAAGAAATTAATTAATGTTTACCTAAAATATATTTTATAGAAGACGGCCTGGTAACTTACTGAAGGAGTATAACAGGCGTCAAATGAAAAAATTCTGGTTGGAAACTCATATTTGGCATGCTAAAAGGTTAGTCAAATATTATTATTTTTTCACGTACTATGCAAAAAAAGGTATATTGAAATGGGTTAATGGGATTAAAGTAAGGTCTTGTCGGATCAGGGGGTGCAAATCACCCCCTCCCCCCTCCCATCAGTTATGCCCAATATTATGCTTAAATACTTGTGAGTGCCTGCCTTGATTAATGTTTCTTGAACTCATTAATTTTTATTACTTCTAAAAGAAAAGATAAAAGTTTATTTTTAGATTTCATATATTGGAGAAATGGGGATACAAGATACCTGGATATCCGAACGACAAGGAATGCAACCATGTCGAATCTATAAATATTAAGAAATTTCGCGCCAGATATTTGTACAATATTAACTAGTTATCTCATATTATCGGTCTTTTTGATTGTTTGTTTCCTACATAACTCATTAACCCTTTGACTGATTGGCCTCCAATTTCTACTGGGGAACTCTACAGAACCAGGGAAATGTTCTTCGCTTGGTGTATTATTTCTAATTATTTTTAATTAAAAAACCGAATTTTTTGTATGTAACTTTAAATAATTTAATTTAAATATGACAGGAGGGTACATCTCCCATCCTGTTTTAGTCTTAATTTGATATCGTTAAAAAAAAGATGGTTTAAAGCCTAATACACCCCTTCTAATTTTCCTGTTCAATATTTTTTTCTTGTTTATCTCGTTTATACACTTCAAGGTCTTTCCAAATAATAGTTCTTTTGACATCGAGTTGTGGAGCAGGTAGGAGAGATATGGAGGTTTGTAGTTGATAAATTGATCCTTTTTTATTGTTGTAATGGTTGTTTTGGTTGATAGGGATGGCGAGCTTGTTATAGAGGATCTAAATCTAGTGCTCTTGTGTTTGACGTTTCATACCTCAACCTTATTCAAGTTCAGGTTAGTTGAACAAACTCGGTATTGCGCTTAAAGGGACTGTAAGCGTAATTTTAAGTGACCCTTCATTAAAAAATAGCTTTGTCCAATTTACAAGGGTACAGTTGAACCTTAATCTGATCTAAAATGTGGAAGATACCGTCATTTTTATGACTCAATAAGTGTTCATTTCTGTCAATTTCTCCATTGTTTCTAAAAATTAATAAATGAGCAAGTCACTTATGTAGGGAAACACAAATACGAAGAAACAAAAACATTGAAATATAATTCATTGTAAATTGGGTATTGCCATCTTTGCATAAATGACCATTTTAAATTATGCTAAACATCAGTCTCGACACTTTTGATTAAATGCGATCAATTAATAATTATTTTTGCAAGGCTATTAGGAAAAAAGCGATTTCAACATTGCGCTGCCAAATAAAAATGAATTGCTAGAATGACTTTAAAAAATCTGCCGATCGGCTGATTTATTTTTAATAAAGCAAATGAACACTCGCCCCAAACTCTCAATTTGCTAATTATACATCAGTCCCTTGCTTAGTGTTCTAGCACTGTAATAGCTTACTTTGCAGGGAAAATCAGATGTTCTTGGTTCTACTCTTAACTCTCTAACTCAAAACAAGACTGGAAAAACCTTTGATGCCTCCAGTGCTGGCAAAGAAGAGACTGCACTGGTTTTTACAGCTTCTGGAAAAGTCATTGGCGAAGTTACATACTTTTGGGTTTCTCATTCCCAGGTAAACAAATTGGATTAAATCCTTGAGTAGGAACTGTATGTTATATTTTATGACATTTATAGAGTGTCATGTCTGATTCACTAATTTTTAAGGTAGAACATGACAAGAAAGAAGATAATTCAACAATTTGGATTTTTGTTCATCCCGCTTTTATTCAACAAATCATGGCAGAGCTAAAACTAGCATTCAAAGTTCTTGATACCGAGTTTATGAACGCATCTGAAGATTCGAACGAACCATTGTTAAAGAAGTTAAAGCTTGATCCTGAAACTTCAGATGAGGCTAAGACTAAAGTTCTCAACCCTCCTTCTTTATTGTCTGAATGTTCTGAAATCAATGAGAAGAGTTTGAACATGGAGAAGAGTGTGAACATGAAGAAGAATGTAAACCTTGAGAAGATGTCGACCAGGAATATTCCAGCAAATCGGGCTCCTTCATATCATGGTTTAGAAGGAACTACTATCACCGACTTTCAAGGGACTGTTAACAGATTTCGACTAGTTGGTCCTAAAAGCGCGGAAATTCTAAGATCTGTTTGTGTGCCAGCTGATGTGGAAAGCAGTGAACTTGTGTCAGAAAAGAAGGATTTAACTTGGTGGAGGGATCACTACTCGAGCGACAAGAATAAGGTTAATTTCAAGTCAGAGACAGAATCCTTCAAGTCAGGAAATAATGCAAATATTGCATTAACTGTTCGGTAAGTGGAGCACAAGAAACAAAACTTATCATGTTGTTTTATGCATGGCCATATAAAATTGTGTAATAGACTGTTAAAATCAAAGTGAAAGTTCAAATAGTCAAAGCAATTTTAAAACATAGCAATTTTGCAGTATACATACAACCCAGACCAATTTTTAAGCTACATAGCAATAGTATTTGCTTAATAACAACATTGCATACACATTAGACTGTCCTTTTCCTATTCTGCAGTTATTTGGGTTCCATTTTCTGTAGAAAAAAATAAAATTGTGCCCGCTTTCAAAATGAACATTAAGTTAAAATTTATACATTGCAATGTCCTAAACAGTTTAAAAACAATACTGCGTCTTGATGTTTTGTTATGATTTTTTATACATCTATGATTGATTTAAGGGATCCCCGTCTTCTGTTACCCATTAAGAAATGTCCAGCTATCAAATCTCCCTCCTCATCTCCTACAAAGACATCTATTATGACCTCTAAGCCTGCCTCCCTGGAAGCTGAAGCTGCTTCTAAAACTATTGCAACTGATCCTAAAGTACCTGAACCTGGAGGAGTCCCAACCATTACACAGAATTTATGGCTGGAATCTCCATTCTTCTCCGCCTCAATACGAGATGCAGGTAGTTTGTAGAATAAAATTTTATTTAGGGAGACATGCCATAAACTTTATTAGTACGTCCTGATATTTAAAGCTTCTAAGCATTTAAATTATGTATTATTTAAGTATATTTTTGTGCTTCACATAAGTGGGTTCTTTAAAGTGTGTTCTCAATGTGCCTCCTCAATGTTTGTATTTATTCTGCGTCCACTCCACCATGTGCGTGTACAACTAGGTGCACACTTCATTGTAACTGTGTGCGGAAAAAGTTAGCTGTAAAAGGAATTTGTTATTTTTGCCAGCTTATTTGAGGGTGGACTTGTAATAAATATCGTAGCAAATCCCACAGTTATAAACCTGAATGCACCTAGATAAATTATGTTGTACATTGACTATAAATCTAAATGCGCTTATAAATATCGTAGCAAAACTTGTATTGCGATTAACCTGACCTAGCTACGTCTGTAAATAACTATGTCAAACCTGTATTGTGATTAGCCTAACTACGCTCATATATAACGACGCAAAACTGGTAATTACGTTCATTAACTTTACCTGTAACATAGAAATCAAAATAAACGTAAGTTGTAATAGTACTCTGCTTTGATTACCATGTGAAAGTAATTTGTTTCTTGTTTTGTGAACAAGAGGGACTTGAGTTATATCTTGTGATATTGACTAGGAAGTGTATCTTAGAGATACATTTTTGCGGAATCTCCAGTTCAAGATTAAGTGCATCTTAGAGATACAGTGCTGCGGAATCTCCGGTTGGAAATTTAGTGTATCTTAGAGATACAGTATTGCGGAAATCTCCAGTTCAAGATTAAGTGTATCTGGTAAATACAGTATTGAGGAACCTTGAGTTCTAGACTGAGATGTATCTGGTAAGACAGAGACCTGAGGATACTGAAGGTTGTACCTTGATTGGTACAGATCTAAAATTATTAATTGGAGTAGGGCATTCATTACAGACCTTTAATGTATAATCTTCCATCAATAAAATTAAATTATACATTAATTTAAAGTTTTAGTGCTTTTTAACACCAGGCCCATATAGCTGCTAATCTGGTGACCCTGCCATGGTACAAACTTAATGTCACCGAGCTCATGCAAACAGACTTGTATCTTTGTATTTAGTAACGTTATCCAAGTGTTCTGATGCAGAAATCAACAAACATCGTAGCAATCTTTTAATCCCTGGTTCCAGGCTTACTTTAGGTAAATAAAGTTTAACATTTTCTTCCCCTCCCGCCCTTCTCTTTTCATCGTGGAAAATTCGGTTTTCTGATGTTAACAAATTTTACCGGAATCAAATCAGAATTAAAATGTGATTTGTCATCTTTGAATAATTATAAAAAGAAATGTTTAAAACATCGTTAAATATTGTCACATATTGTAGCCCCCTTGAAATTACGACAAGATCGCCTTTAAAAAAAGCGATTAGCATATACAAAGGAATAAAGTGAGTGATTAGACTGATGTAGGTGTTGATGAGTCACGTGTTCCTGTTCTCATTCTGAAACAAGATACTGGATACGATCTACTTGTCCCTGCAGGTATATTGCTTATCTGGACTAGTTTACTGTACTGTACACAGGATACTGAATACGATTTACTAGTTTACTGTTCACTGGATAATATACGATATACGATATACCTACAGGTATATTTTTATCCAAACTTGTTTAATGTACTGTACACAGGATACCGGATACCATAAGGATACCGGATACCATATAATAGTCCCTGGAGGTATATTGTTTAGCTGAACTTCAGTTCACTGTACTGTACACAGGATACCGGATACCATATTATAGTCCCTGCAGGTTTATTGTTTAGCTGAACTTTAGTTTAATGTACTGTACACAGGATACTGGATATGATTTACTAGTTTACTGTTCACTGGATAATAGATACGATATAATAGTCCCTGCAGGTATATTTTTATCCAAACTTGTTTAATGTACTGTACACAGGATACCATATACTAGTCCCTGCAGGTGTATTGTTTAGCTGAACTTTAGTTAACTGAACTGTGCACAGGATACTGGATATGATCTACAAGATATCTGTACACGGGATTATGGATACGATCTGTATTATTAAATTGTACTATACTCAACTACTTTATACTATACTCAGTAAAATGCATGCCTATTTCTTGGCACTGCAGATTTAACTTTTTTTGTATCGTACATATCTGTACTGCACAGTGTACTTTGTGCTGAAGTTTTGAAGTTCTAAAAATTTATAGGGGAACAAATGTTGAACTGAATCTGAAGCTTTGTCGCTGCTGATCCCAAATCTAGATTTGCACAAAACGAAAAGGGTCTAAGAACTGATCAGACAAGATTTTATTGTATCAGGTTGGGGAATGTCCTTCTGGCAATGTCTGGTGTTCAACGGGTGCCGAGCGGGGGGAGATAAAGAACTACAACAGCATACGATTGAACAGGTTTGGATACTGCAAACTGGCATTTTTACGTGGTTCCGCGGTTTGTTTAGGTTCTGTATGCAATGCGCATTTCTTGCTCATAAGAATTATTAGAGAAATTATTAGAAATAGACACTTTTCAAGAAAACAAACTTCACTCCATTTTCTGTCTTATACGTATTATCGAACCAAATGTCAACTTCTTAATTAGTAAAATTGTTCAGGGTAAACCTCCTCTCCTGCATCGGTATCCAGACGCCCTTGCTGGCCAACAGGAGCTGGAAAACATTGCAAAATCCACCAAAGCTCATCATTTTGCTCTCCCGCCAAATAAACGTGTCAACTTTGCCAAACTTGGCATAGCCTCTCCGTTCCAGCCTCCATGGACTGTTCTGGTGAAAGACTGGAGAACGGATAACAGCCTCCAACCTAGTCAACTACCAGAGGCTGTCCATGTACTAAGGGATGAAGATGTACTAAAGAGATTACGGGTAGGAGATGTAAAAGGTCTGGAGGTGCTGTTGGATCATTTGGTTGCAGTCAAATTAAGAATTGAAGGAAAAGGAAAACTTGGAGAGAACACAATCATTTGTATTCCTTCCCCTCAGGATTTGGAAGGTATTTGATACTTTAGAAAATAGACTGTGAGCTAAGTATTTGTTTGGGCTTTACAACAAATGAGTGCTATTTATTGTTATCGGTAATTTGAAGGAAACTTTTAAAACCTCGTAATTTTTTTTTTAGTGTGTCATTTTAGATTTTGAATGTCAACAGTATTTTTCAAGTGGGAAAATTTTAAAGTTGACTTTCTTTTTAATTTCGGAATCAATTTTTCATAATTTGTGAAGTAAAAATTCAATCATAAAATCTCGTTTGAAATAAAATACTTTGGAGAAAAACGATTGTAGATTTAGAGATTTGTAGATTGTAAATGAAAGAGGGGGGGAGGGGGAAATTGACTGCTTTTTAATCATTTGTCTATTTGTAGTTTTGGAGGGTCCAACGGAGAGGATACAGGAGGACAGTATGGAGAAGGAGAGGAAGGAGACGAGGGAAAACCATCAGGTTAGGGATAAATAGTTAGTTAGTTATTTAGGGTTAATTACTTTATTCATTCTTATTTAGGGTTTATTAGTTTATTCATTAAGGATTTAATCAAGGTATCAGATCAATCAACAATTATGAAGTCTAAGACAGACTCAATTTGTGATTTAGTAAGTTAATGAAATATTAACTTAATACGAATGCGTCGAAAAATAATCGATGACTACTGTTTGTAGTAACTAAATGATTTGTTTGGAATTAATTTGATTTGTTTACGATCCGAGTTGAATGTTGCATCTTTCCGAATTTGTATGGACGTTGTTTTCTTCGGTGTAAGTCGTTTTTAACAATTTTCTCCTTATAGACGCAACAGATAGAAGTAACATTAGTAGCGATCAAAAGCGCTTTTTTATACCCCCTTTCATTTTTCGCGAACACTCCCTTTAAAGGTTAATAAGGAATTTCACAACTCTTAAAGAATCCGTTAAAATATGAACAGATTCTTCCGGTTAAATAATCATTGGCTGAACGTTAACATTGAATATGTTTCTGCTCCCAACTAGTCAAAGTAAAAGTTTTTAAAATGTGTATTATTTTAACATGTGTTATAGACTGAAGAAATGTTTTTCTCCGGGGGTGCTCGAACTTGAACCTACAGAGGACGGGAGAAAGAAGGCCGTTATTGTTGACGCCAGGTAAAGACTGTCTTACTTTAATTTTAAAATATCATTTTTTTGTTCACCATACAGTAGATACTTGAAAGGAATTCTGTGGGCTAGCGCTTTTAAAAGTTATGCGAACCGGGCTTAAAATAGAGAAAAAAAGAATTCTGTTGACTAGCTCTTTTAAAAGTTATGCGAACGGGGCTTATAATGGAGAAAAGGGAATTCTGTGGGCTAGCGCTTTTAAACGTTAAATGAACCGGGCTTATAATGGAGAAAAGGGAATTCTGTGGGCTAGCGCTTAGGGCTTATAATGGAGAAAAGGGAATTCTGTGAGCTAGCTCTTTTAAAGCTTATGTGAACCGGGCTTATAATGGAGAAAATGGAATTATGTATTTCCTACTTAAGAAAGTCCAACAATTAGAACAAATTTTATTGTTTTCAAAACCTGAATGTATCAAAATATTTGATCACTTCTATTATGAACAATACACTAACAATTGAGATTCTCAATTTTTTGAAGGTTTTCTTTGTCTTTTTTAATTCCTTTTATATCATCGACTTCGGGACAACATTCAATTAAACATTGTTTTGCAAAATTATACAATTCACAATTTTGTGTCGAGAAAGATTGTTTGTTTTTTATTGTCTGAATGTCCACTGTACAGGAATGACTCGTGTAGCCGGAACGTGTACCGGCACGACGATTTGAAGGAGAAGGTCGTCTTAGAGAAGGTTAAAGACCATTTTATCTTCAATATTGAGTCCACAGGGGCAATCCAACCTACAGATCTGGTAAGCATTCACTCAAGCTTTTTGTGGCGCTATTTAGGAGTATGAAAGCAGGATGTCTGATTTGATTTGATTATTTAATTTCTTTTAAAATTTTGTTGATTTAATTATCTAAATTTTATCATGACAAAGCTTATAATATTTGTTTTTAGTTAACCAAAAAGAGATTAAAGCGTCAATGGAAGAAGTTAAAGGATAAAGAGGTACAAAAATTGATCATTTTTGCATGACACGGTTTTGATAAGTTTTGCCTGACGCGGTTTTGATTATGTTATTTAAGGTTTTATTGAAGACCCAATCAAGTGCCCTTGGAAAGCCGCTGGATCAGGAAAGACTGAATCTGATTGCCTCCAACAGGAATATCGTCAAGCAAATCCGCGAACAAAAGAATGCCGAGTTTAGCGCCAGAAATGAAGAGCTGTGGATCGGAGATTTCAACACAGTCCGAAACTCGTGCAAACGGGAAATTTTCGGGTTCATCACAGCTGCCAATATGTCGTACACCATAGGAGGATATTTAGGCTTTGGTTTTGTCAGTCTCCGAGGTCTTCTCAAGTGGAAAGAGATTTCCAATTCTAAATCTCTTGTGCTCACTCGGGAGACGTCAAGTACACAGTACAGATTTTCTTCCCTAACTATTTTGTGATATTTTCAGAGAGTACAAGATGGAGTTCAGCTCCTCTTCTAAAAGTCGGCTGACCTTGAAAGAGTTTGAAGTTGTGAATACATCTAATTATGATATTGCGGGACATTTTGTGGATCCGCAGAACAAGGATGAAAAAAGAAAACGGATCAATATTATAAAAGAAGAGGTAATGTAAGTTTGTTCAATTATTTTTTTTCATTGGCAATTCCGTTGGCCGTTCTATATGTGGCTGTTTTTATTGAAGAAATTTTTTAAAATATGAACCACTTGCCATTTAACGCCCATGAAATGTCAAATGGCTTGATATCATCGGGCTATTTCTTTTTTGGTTAATTCATAATATGTCTCATCTCCATTATTGATCCTATTTGAAACGTTGATGGCAAGTACATGCATTTAAAATTTCATGTAATGGATAATCTTAAAGTTTCAGCAAAATTTATTTTTTAAGGGACTATTCTTGGAGTTCGACATGGTCGGATATGATGTTACACTGGCAAATGCAATCAGGTACTAAATTTTAATTGGTTAAGTTTATTTTATTATTTAATATTTGTTCTAGACGGTTAATATTGTCGGATGTACCAACAATGGCAATTGAAAAAGTACATATGTATCAGAATACAAGTATTATGCAGGTAGATTTTAAGCTTTGATTTACCGACTTTTTTCACTTTACTGTACATTGTACAACCGTGCTTCTGCTTAGGATCCATTTGATTTTGTTGCGGACCCTGATCCATGTCATAACCATGAACTTTAAGATTCATTGATTGGTTGAACAAGCGAAGAATTTTCAAATAAATTTTCTCCTTTTTTCGCATATTTTTGTTCTAAATAAGGAAATTTTTAATAATCTCTCTTTTTTAACATCAGATTTGAGGTTTGAGTGGAGAAAGGTTTTTTTTTCATTAGCTGGCTGATATTTTGGCCATTAGATTCGGATCGTTGATCCGCATATTTTTGCGAATCCGGACCCAGGAAGCCTAAATATTGCGAATTAAACGGATCCGGATCCCAAGCACTGCTATAGAGTAATTGTACTGGACTGTACTGTTATGCACTGCACTCTAATTTACCATGCTGTTTTGCTTCATGTTTAAATCTTGATATTCTGTCCTGAATTAAAAATGAGAAGAAGTTCATTTCTAAGTTAACTTTATTTTCTGCTTTGTTAAAACTTGTATTGTATCTTCTTCATTTTCTCCTTACACAAACTATTCACGGACAAAATGAAATATTTTTTTACTTTAATATTCAACTTTTCCAGGATGAAGTTTTAGCCCACAGATTAGGATTGATTCCTCTTAAAGCAGATCCAAGATTATTTAACTGGAAGGAGGCGGTAAGTATTTAATTTTCTGATTTGATTTATTCTAGCAGTGCCTAACAGCACTCTATATAAAAACATATGCTATGAAGTAACTTCTTAAAAAATAAATTTCAGATTTAGGTGAGGCACCCTACTCTTTGCCTGTAATCTAAACTTTCTTAATACTCACTCCAATTAGAATTTTTAAGCCAAGCATAACACTCTCGCGCCTTAAGTCTTAATAAAAATTTGAGGCAAATTGGCCAAGGGGTTTATGGCTTCAGCTCATCTATCATACTAATAAACAAACAGAGATCATTACTATTTCTATATATATAGTATTTTATTTTGATATATATCGAATAAGCTTTAATAGGGCGCTTAGCATCCATATTCTATTTCAGCTTTTTATTGTGGCTCTATCTGTGTGCATCTTCTCTTTGTTCAATCTAAAAAAAAAGTTCGCGGATTTAATATTTTTTTGCGTATTTTCAAAATTTTACAAAAATCAAAAACTTGGACACAAATTTTTCTAATTTTGAGCATTCATTAACCTACCCTGGGGTCGTGTGAGGTCCCACACAAAATATGGGCCGATCATAACTCATAACCCCTTGACCGATTTGTCTCAAAATTAATTTGGGGAACTTGGAAGAACCACTGAATCGGTTTTGGCTTGTTTTTAAAATAATTTTTTGTTAAAAAGATTGGTTTCCAGGCAAAGTTTAGCTTCCAAGCTAGTGTATATATATAGTTGAATGTTAATTAATCAATTAATATTTAGGGAACTCCTGATGAAGGAACAGAGGATGATACTCTAGAGTTCTCTCTCAAAGTTAGATGCAAGTATGTACCCTCCTTCTCCCCTTTGATATTAAATGTATTTAGAAGTTCGTGTTGTATTAAGAAAAAACAATTTGACTCAAATTTGATTTGTGTGCAAATGAATGATAGCTCGGAACTAAAACTAAAAACTAAAACTAAATCCAATGGGAAAACCTCCTATTCCTGATTCGATTTGATATATTTCTAAAACTTTTTTAATTTTTATCTTAAATTCTAGACGAAATCCTGCCAAAGACGAAACGTCACCATATATTGATAGCTGTGCATACACAAAACATATTACATGGATTCCAAAGGGGAACCAGGTACGTAAGATTTAGTCCGACGTTAGTTAAGTTAAAACCCCTGTATCTTGAAGGGATTGTAATGGTGTACCCCTGGCTAGATCAAGGAGTGTTGTTGGACAATCGCTATCTGCTTGAATTTAAATGAATTTGCAGTAGAATGTAAACAACCTTGTACTTCTTATATACTGTGAGCGTAATTTTAAATGACCTCAATGCAGAGAAAGCAATGCCCGATGGAACCCTTGAAACCTTTATCTGATTAATAATAAGGAATATATCTTCGTTTTTTTCAGGTTTAGAAGTTCTTAATTCGAAAAATTTCTATATGATTCCCAGAAGTAGAAATGCGCAAAACACTTTTGTAGAGAAATCACAATTGAAAATAATTCGTTCTCAAAATTTTTAACATGATACTTTTTATTTGATCCGACAAATCTTTTAATGTTACCGTTGTGATTCGGGCATTGCCATCTTTGCATAGAGGGTTACTTGAAATTACGCTTACAGTCTCTTAAATTGGATTAACTGTTGTTGAATTGTCGAAAAATTTTAGAAAGATCGTATAACGGATCCTGGTCCAGTGGAAGACGATATTCTGATAAACAAAATGAGACCTGGACATGAGATGGACATTAAACTCTTTGCAGTCAAGGTAGGGGGGTGGGGGNCGGAATATAATATTCTTCTACAAGTTTAATTTTTAAAATCAACATCTGAACTTACTAAGGATGAAGAGTTGCGGGTAAATTTCTCAATTTTTTAGAAATGTTTCACAAAACTTTTTCGTTTTTCTTTTACACAATTATTTGATTAGTGCATCTAAATCCATAAATCAGTCTTGCGAATGGATAAAATAAATCTATTCTAATCTGAACTGAATTTCGAGTGATATAAATTATTGAGAAAATTATTTGAATGTTTTGAATAATTTAAGAAGTATTTTTCCCTATACAACGCTAGAAAATATAATAGTTTTTTATTTAAATATATTGCTTTAAATCAAAAAATGTTATTTTTTCTTCCAAAATGTCCGGATTGTCCGGACTTTTTTTTCCGGAAAAAAATGTTTTTTAAGTTTATTTTAAAAACTTGAAGTTTGATGTTCTCTACCAGGGAATAGGACGGGACCATGCTAAGTTTTCTCCTGTTGCAACGGTGTTCTACAGACTTCTTCCAGATATCAAGATTATCAAGGATGTATATGACCAGGATGCAGTTAGGTTTGTGTTTTCTCGACTTTAAAGGGACTTAAAACGTAATTTCAAGTGACCCTCAATGCAAAGATTGGAATGCCTGAATTACAGCGGTACCCTTAAACGATTTTTCGGATCAAGTATGAATCAGATATCAATGTTTAAAACTTAAACTTTTTTAGATCTAAATATTTTTATTAACACAAAATAAATAATTTTAAAAAGCTTGAGTTTGAAGACGAAGATTACACAAGTGTTATTTTTTAACGAAATATAATTACAAGGATATTTTGATTTTGTTTGTGGACAAAAAATAGGGTCGCAAAAAATTGGAAAAAGTTTTCATATTTAATGCAAGTGGATACGTTTACTAGGTGTGTGTTCAACTTGTGGTGCGGATTTATTTAGCAATCTTTAAAATGTTCAATTTTCATCCAGTGGGTATGAGGTTTATGCCCGTACTCTTCTGTCTAAATCTAAATCCAGGGGACCAAGGTTTATCTCCATTACATTTTTTGACACTGCAGTTGATGTTTGTCCAGCCCTTCGGGAATAATGTCCGTGTCCATTTCAAAGTCCTTTTTCTCGCTTAGTTGGGATTCAGGTGGATTGGTATCGACACAACCTTGAGTATCAGCTCTATTCATTATGTTTAATCCTCAATGTTCTACTTATTTAGCCAGGTTACAGGTTGTATAGATGTACTGCAGACGGTATTGATAAAACCTGATTCTGTTTCAGGTTTATCAGACAGCTTGTCACATAAAGCAGCTGAATTTCCATACCCTGCATGTTTAGGGATACATTCTCCGTTCCAGCTGGCATTCCTGCAGACAGAATTTTTTTCGCCAGCCAGGCCTCTTTTCGTTCCCTGTCCTTTCTAATTTTGAAAGGATTCTTTTGATTTCTTTCCCTTGGAACCTGAGGTCTAGTTACGGAGGAGAAGCTGGAACCCTGGGGTCTGGTGACTGATGAGAAGGTAATTGTTTCCTTCTCATTCTCAGTCTCCAGAGCCATCCTAGCCCAATCTAAACTGATTGTATGATCTTAAGATGGCAGGGAAAGTATTCACCCCTGCCATCTTGCTTTAGCTCTAGTGTACTGCAGCATTCACATACTGTTGTGTTTGGTACCAAGATCAGCTGAAGGTCAGCTGAATACTAAACCTAGGTCAGCTGAAAACTAAACCAAGGTCAGCTGAATACTGTACCAAGATCAGCTGAATACTAAACCTAGGTCAGCTGAATACTAAACCAAGGTCAGCTGAATAATAAACCAAGGTCAGCTGAATACTGATGATTTTCAATTTTGGTTTCTCTACAGTCTACAAAAGCATTTCTACTCAAGAAAAACATTTCGGAATTTTCATTATTAAAAACTTTTAATCCTAGAAAACCTACAATATCATTCATTATTGATAAGATTTCAATGGCACCGTTGTGAATCGGGCATTGCTTATCTTTGCATGGAAGGCACTTAAGGTTATGCTTACAGTTTAATAGAATTTATAAATTAAATTATAATACCACAGTTTTTGAATGATAGGGCCCAACTAGTATGCTAATCTTATCCCTTTTTAGCTTTATTGCCAGAGATATAGTTTATTGCAGTTTCCAATTTTCTTTTTGACATGCAGTAGAGTTACAGGGAATAAATAGGTGAACATTCCCATAAAGGGAGTGTTCGCGAAAAATGAAAGGGGGTATAGGCTTAATGCGATAAAAAAACGCTTTTGATCGCTAATAATCTTACTTCTATCTGTTGTGTTTATAAGGAGAAAATTGTTTAAAACGACTAATACCGAAGAACGTAGTGTCCATACAAATTCAGAAAGATGCAACATTCAACTCGGACCGTAACTAAATCAATTTAATTCCAAACAAATCATTCAGATATTACAAACAATAGTCATCGATTATTTTTCGACGCATTCGTAAATAGTTGATATTTCATAATATTTTGTATTTTTCATGATCTGAGAGTTACTTTTGAAAACATTTATTCCTGTTTCGAGGATTTTTGATAATGAATACGACATTTTCATATTTTCCAGGAATGCTAGAAAATCCAACGCTAGCGAAAATTATTTTTTAAAAACAAAATCAAAAATATCATGAAATATTAACTTAATACGAATGCGTCGAAAAATAATCGATGACTACTGTTTGTAGTAACTAAATGATTTGTTTGGAATTAATTTGATTTGTTTACGATCCGAGTTGAATGTTGCATCTTTCCGAATTTGTATGGACGTTGTTTTCTTCGGTGTAAGTCGTTTTTAACAATTTTCTCCTTATAGACGCAACAGATAGAAGTAACATTAGTAGCGATCAAAAGCGCTTTTTTATACCCCCTTTCATTTTTCGCGAACACTCCCTTTAAAGGTTAATAAGGAATTTCACAACTCTTAAAGAATCCGTTAAAATATGAACAGATTCTTCCGGTTAAATAATCATTGGCTGAACGTTAACATTGAATATGTTTCTGCTCCCAACTAGTCAAAGTAAAAGTTTTTAAAATGTGTATTATTTTAACATGTGTTATAGACTGAAGAAATGTTTTTCTCCGGGGGTGCTCGAACTTGAACCTACAGAGGACGGGAGAAAGAAGGCCGTTATTGTTGACGCCAGGTAAAGACTGTCTTACTTTAATTTTAAAATATCATTTTTTTGTTCACCATACAGTAGATACTTGAAAGGAATTCTGTGGGCTAGCGCTTTTAAAAGTTATGCGAACCGGGCTTAAAATAGAGAAAAAAAGAATTCTGTTGACTAGCTCTTTTAAAAGTTATGCGAACGGGGCTTATAATGGAGAAAAGGGAATTCTGTGGGCTAGCGCTTTTAAACGTTAAATGAACCGGGCTTATAATGGAGAAAAGGGAATTCTGTGGGCTAGCGCTTAGGGCTTATAATGGAGAAAAGGGAATTCTGTGAGCTAGCTCTTTTAAAGCTTATGTGAACCGGGCTTATAATGGAGAAAATGGAATTATGTATTTCCTACTTAAGAAAGTCCAACAATTAGAACAAATTTTATTGTTTTCAAAACCTGAATGTATCAAAATATTTGATCACTTCTATTATGAACAATACACTAACAATTGAGATTCTCAATTTTTTGAAGGTTTTCTTTGTCTTTTTTAATTCCTTTTATATCATCGACTTCGGGACAACATTCAATTAAACATTGTTTTGCAAAATTATACAATTCACAATTTTGTGTCGAGAAAGATTGTTTGTTTTTTATTGTCTGAATGTCCACTGTACAGGAATGACTCGTGTAGCCGGAACGTGTACCGGCACGACGATTTGAAGGAGAAGGTCGTCTTAGAGAAGGTTAAAGACCATTTTATCTTCAATATTGAGTCCACAGGGGCAATCCAACCTACAGATCTGGTAAGCATTCACTCAAGCTTTTTGTGGCGCTATTTATTTCTATTTATTTCAATTTAGTAATCATGCATTCCTTTATTACATTTATCAATAGTCATCCTTTTTTTCCCTTTTTTATCTGGTCCTACCTAACATATAGCATTTTTTTCTCCATTACTCTCACGTATTATATTCATTCCGCTTTTCAATACAGAACCTCATATTAATTTACGTATTCGTAAATTTTTATTTTTTTTATTTTCTTATTGCCTTTCTATATCCATCAATTCAGTTTTTTTCATAATTTATTTTTTCTTTGATTGATTCATAATATTGAATATTTAGTTAAGTTAGATTAACATCAAGAACCGTTTTTCTAAGTTGTGGCCAGATTATTTATCAGATATAAAAATTAAAGAATTACAAATTTTATTAAAATGTCACACTGAATCTAGTTAAGATACAATAAATAATTTTGAATAATTCAAAACTATTAGCTATACCTTTAAGAATCCAGAAAATAAAACATTTAAATTTTCTATTTAAAAAAAAACATTAATCTCTTACGTTCCGAACTGAAACCCCAAAATGCATGACGAATTGAAACATAGTCTTTCATAAGGGATTCCTTAAGTAATCCCTAAATCTTTTAATTTGATTTGATTATATTGGATAGCTGCCACAAGAAGTATAAGGACATATTTGGCAAGAAAAAAGCAGATTACCTCCCGAGGGCGTTGACAGGATTTTTTGGAGGGCTGAAATTTTGCCTTTCAGCCCCCCCCCCCTGATTTTGATCTACATACAATTTAAAAAAGTTTTTCTCTCCTCGAAAGACAATCAATCCATCAATTAAAAATTCTCCAAGTCCTAAAAATGCGAGACTGAAATAATACTGTTTAGGTTCTGATGGCTCTTGATATCTTGGTGGAGAAGTGTGATGGATTCATCAAAGAGATCGATCATCAGAATAAATAATTTTTTAATGACCATTCTTATTTTTGTGTTCTTGAGCCCACATGTAATTCTTTCATGTTCGTAGATCTGATGTTATTTTTTCAGAGAGCACCCCCTCCTTGCTCAGAATTCATTTTCTGATTTTATATTTTGGACCACGATGAGTTCCGTTGTCAACAAATCAAAAATACCGATACCGCAGAAACTTAGAGAGGTAGGTCATGAATTATTTAGATTTTCTTTTTTAAAAAATCCACGGGCAAGGTAGGGCACTTCAGCTAGTTGAAAAATATCTGCTGAACTGACAGTCTGTGTTTAATTAAAGTTTGTTTAAGGATACTTTACACCTAGTTTAACCTTTTTCTAAAAACCTACAAGATTTTCTTTTAGATTTTATGGTAACACTGTGTTCACTAAGTTTACATCAAAAAGTTATGACTAGTTATTCGTTTATCATGCAGCGATCTCTTTTCATCTGATGTTTCTGTTGAAGAAATAGTTGTGGCCATCTTTCTTCAGCTCCATGTCATAACCATTGTAATTGCTGTGCATCTGCGCACTCTTGGCTTTTCCAATAATAGATCAGTCTTGATGATTAACAATCTCATTGACAAAGCTATTATGAAGGTTTAATCAGGAAGTGTAAGATAAGATAAGATAAGATAAAGTTTATTGCTCAAATAAATGTATCTGTATACAGGTAGAGTTTACAATCACAAAATTGATGATTATATTAACAGTACAAGTATAAAGCAATTAGGTGGAAAATAGCTCTTAGCTGTTTTGATTATTTTTTCCACCCAATGTTAATAATAATAACAAAATATTTCAATTAAATAGATTTAAGGAGAACGATTAGAGATCAGGGTGCGAATTTATCATATGCAAAATAGTTTATACATAAATTCGAATAACTAGAGTTTAAAGTAATTTTCATACATGTACATATAAGGCAAAGTTTAATTATTAGGTTCCAGGAAAAGTTTTATTAAAGGGACTGCTCACTTATTTGGATAATTTTAAAGTAAACTAAATAGACTATTAGCTATTAATTTGTATTAGTCTTATTTTTCAAAACTGTGGCCGGAGAAAAAGTCGATTTTTTATACAGAATTCCAGCGCGAAGATATGATAGCTTTGCATTTACACTATTTGATGCTTTTTGTCAGTAATAGATTTTAAAAATATTAAATTAAAATGTAGTATCTAACAGTTAATTGTAAATATATTTAATTTTTTTCAAAGGATTTTAAAAATTGTCTATTGTCAAAATATTACTTATTTTAAACATTTGACGGATTCCCCAGGAATACCCGAGTTGGAATCGAGGAACAGTTTGACGAATATAAAGGTCGTCTTTGTATAGACATATTAAATCATGTTTGAAATTGAGAAACGTCAATTTCTTGATAATTCTAAAATCGTAAGTTTTCATATCTTATTATATAAAGGTTAACACATGATGTCATTAAAATATGATAATTTTGTTTAATTTTTTGGGCTGTTGTTGTTAAAAAAAAAACGTTTTAATAGTGTCGACAAAGGTATAGTACCTTTGTGCTGGAATTCCAAGCAATAGATCGGCCAATGAATAGCTACTAGGCTAAATAGCTTACCATGAAATTACCCAAATAAGTGAACAGTCCCTTTAAGTCTGGGGCCACTTTGTCTTGATTAACAAGGTCAGTCATGCTCCATATTCTATCTTTATGTGGCCCCTTACCAAGGTGTTGTATTTTCCCTAGGGCAGCTTCCCATATAGGTGATTTTCCAAGCTGAAACTTTAAGGTAAGGGTAGGCATTCTGGGGGCGCTGCAAGCTACAGTGTGGCCCCGAACTTTGGCTTGAACAGGTAAAGGGGCCAAGCGCTTTAGCTAGGTAAGAGTCCGCGATTTAAAAACTTCGACTCGAGCCGTGATTCCTTAAACCCAACTTTAAGACCCGATCTTCGACCCAACTCTGACGACAGCTTGTTTCACTTGATTGACAGCTGCAAGATAATCGGCTCGATTAAGGAGTTGGTCTAATGATAATAAAAATGACCTTATTTGGTTTTAGTGGAGAATAAGGCTCAATGTTGAGTCTTATTCTCATCAAAACCCGGGATGCGGCTGTAATTCCTACCATGAAAATCCGCCAAATAGAATATTAAACCGGTTTTTGAATTCAACTCTGTGGAATTTATGATCCAGCTTGAATTCGAAAGCTCTTGTCGTAAATAAAGGCCAACGACAGCTTAGACCCGAGCCTTATTTTCCCGAATTTTTAATTGCAGGCTCAGGAAAAATGCAGATTTCAGAATAGTTGATATTGACATAAACTCTTTCAATTTCTTTTTTAAGTTGCTGCTTTCATCAGCATCCACCCTTCTCTGGCTCTCTATTGCTGGACCTCAATCTTTTTCTTCTTTGAGCAACACTTGCAAGAAGGAAGCATATATTTATTTAAAGTTGTAATCTCTGTTTGTCTATTTGTTTGACTGATCAGAACTCAGGGACCCATGGACCGATTTGCCTCAAATTTTGGTTTGGGAACTCGGGGAGACCCACAAGAATGTTCTTAGCTTGGTTTTGAGATTTTAAGTTGAGTGGGTCGAGTTAATAGCAAAGATTTAGTTTCTCGGTAAAATCGTTCAAGAGCGGGTGAACAACGGGAGTAACTTTTAGTAACCTGGGCACCGCTGGGTTCCTAAGCTTGTCTGAGATAAAGTTTCACTAACCTTATGGCTTAGCTGCGTTACTAAAATACTTAACCTTATGTTTTTCTCCGTAACAGTTGTCCTGTCCTCTAATTTTCCTCATTAAGGTGTCCACCAATGATAGCTGTATATAATAATGATGTTTCCTAGTATAGATTATCGCTGTAAGTTCTAAAAACTGCAAGATTATCATTAAACATATTAATTTTTTCTTACTCTATCGGGTAATTTTGGATCCAATATAGTTTTTGTAAAAAAATATTTTTAAAAATGGCCTCAAAACCGGCTAAAATATTTTTTTTGATAGAAAAGTATGTTTTCGGAGAATTTTAAAAATAGCTTGGCCAATTTTTAAAAATTACATTATAAAGATTTATTCTCAAACAAACCTATACCTAAAAATATAAATGGTGTAGTTAAAATTTGTTTAGATATTTTGAAAATATAGTTTTATAAAAAACAAAAAATAATAAATATGCAAAATTATTCATAAATAGACGACATTGATCATTACTGATTACATAACACATTTATCATTTCAGTTATTTTGTAATCATCCAATCCATCAACATATAAATTATTTATTGTTCTAGTAAAATCGGAAATTTCCATGCATGATCCAATGGGGCATCAAAATATTACATTTGTTTCTTAACTAACATTTTACTAAGATCAGATAGATTTACAAAACAATCATTTGCAATGGAAAATAAATTTCTATCAAGAACTGTGTTAAGGTCATTTTTACATAAATTAGAAAGAAATCTAATGCAAAGCTTAGAACTTGCTTCAATAATCTCATAGAAAGACACACTTCTACTAGTTAACATAGTTTTTACATGTAAACATTGTGAAATACTTCACCGTAATCCTAGAGGTGAAATATCCCACTCCAATGACTCTGCGAAAAGCACTTTCCATGTCTCAAGATCAAATGCCTTACTCAGATCCATTGCACAAGCATAAACTGCTCTACCAGCTCTGTTGTAATAATCCACTACAGAGTTGACCCCCAGATGCACATTGTAGTACTGGCTAGCTTCTGAAAACCAGACTCTAGCTCATATTTGGTCAGTTTATGAGAGTTCAAAATTAATATCAACCAGTCAACATGTGGAAAATGACGTAACTTTTACTAATTGCCCTTTGGAAATACAATAAAGGTTAATAAAAAAAGTTAGAGTTTTTTTTTTCATTTTACGAACTAGACTAAAAATAAATATTTTCCCGGTGCGCTTTCTTGTTTTAGGTTACAGGTCTTGAAAGTCACCTATTATTTTTCAGATCTTTTTAAGTACAACCATATTGAACGTTTTACTTTACATTTTTTACATGGGGATTTTTTTGTTTTTGAGTTTCTTAGTTTCAGGGTAGTGGTTGTGTTCTGTAAGAACTGAAATACAAATTATTAATTAGTTTCAGTGCTTAGGATCCATTTACTTTTTATGCAGATCTGTATCCTGGATCCGCACTTGAAAAAAAAACGGATCCGGATCCAGGTCATGAACATTTATTTAAGATTTACTGATTTTTAAATAGAAGGAGAATTGTTTTGTTACTTTTTTTAAACTTCTTTTTATGCAAAAACTTGATGAAAAACTCAGAGATAAGGACTTTTTTAATAATCTCGCTTTTTTTCAACAGTACAGATTTGAGTGTTGAGAGCAAAAGATTTTATTGCAGTTTTTGGTTGATATTTTGCCCTTGTATCCAGGAAGCTAAAATGTTGCGGATCTGGATCCGGATCCTAGAAGCACTGAATTTTTTAAATTTAATTTATAATTTTAATAAAACAATTTTAGGATTACACAAAACCTGAATTTTATCGTAAAACACGACACCTCTCTAATGTGGACAGTAATTCCAGGTAATTTTTACATCTTGGCATAACATATTAATTAGCATTGATTTATTGATTTATTGATTTATTTAATGTAAGATGTAGATTGTAATGTAGGCAGGAAAGGAATTGAGTTTTTGCCACAATCTCAAATTTTCTACTCCCTGTACCTTTTTACCTGATGGTGTGAACCTTTGATATTTCAAGCTTAGATTATATGATCCAACAGAATTCATAGTTTGAAATATCTAAGGTCTTTGAAAATAGGTTTCAAAGATATAGGGATTTGTTAATTAGAGTTTTTGGCAAAAACTCAATTCCTCAGTCTAAAATTAGTTAACTTGAAGGTTTAAACAAAAGAAATGAGTTTTATTTCAATATTACAAATTTAATATTTAAGAAGAGTCATCTTAATCATCTTAAATGCTATATGTCGTTGTGGTAATTTTTGAAATCCCCCAGTGTGTTAAGATTTTTGGGAATCAGATTTTTACCTTCATCATTATAGAAGCCATGATAAAGAAAAGTTTTGTCACATGAGGTAGACCTTTTGGGCTAAATAAAGAGTATTTTTTTCTAATTTTTGCTGCTTGGCTTCAGGTTTGATATAAGAACAAGTAGATCTAGTATAACTGGAGAGGATGAAATAAAACAGAAACCTAGAAAAAATTCTGTTGTCGCTGAAGGTAATATTAGATAATTAACATTTTTTTCAACTAATGGAAAACATAGGTCGAGGAAAATAAAATGACATGAGCCAAATTACTGAAAAAATAAAAACCTATAATCTCTTGGTGTACTCTATTTCTATTCATGTTTCCATTAAACAAGGTTCATGAGTTTAAAAAGTCTTTATTGGCTGTGAAACCCCACATTGCATAAAGGAGCCTAAAGCAATCCTTAAAAATGATGATTTGATTTGATTTGATTTGATTTGATTTGATTTGATTTGATTTGATTTGATTTGATTTGATTTGATTTGATTTGATTTGATTTGATTTGATTTGACAGTTCCCTTGATGCTGAATTCATAAGGTTATTGTTTTCATGACATTTCTCTTTCACATAGATGTTCTTTTCAAAAAATTACCAAAAACTTTAAAGAACGAAAAACTTTAACTAATGAATGGATAAGATATGGATATTGGAAATATTTGAAAAGAAGTTATGCATGACGAATTGAACCTCCTTCTTTAACTAGGTAGTCTCAAGAAATTCCTTAACTTATGATTTATGATGAAACAAACCGATCATGATTCTTTCTTTTTTAACTTTTTCATGTGATTGTCATTGCTCTAGGTAAGAAAACAGCAGGAAGGAAAAACTCAGAACGTTGTGGAGGGAGGACTACAATTAATGATGACAAGGAGAATATTGCAGCAATAGAGGTTATTAAATAATAATATTTCATTGATTTCTCAGAGCCCGCGATTTAAAAGCTTCGGCTCGAGTCTAAATTCCTAAAACGCAGCTTTAAGACCCAATCTTAGACTCAACTCTTTTTTAAATCGCCGGCTCTGGATTGTTTGTCAATGAGGATTTTCATTGTATTTTCATGAAATATATTGTACTTCAGTAAGTTTACAAGACTTTGATATTAATATTTAATTTTAATATTGATATTTAATTTTAATATTGATATTTAATTTTAATATTGATATTTTTAATAGTGTGGATTTTTAAAGCAACCTTAACCAGGATGGAAAGGAGATAGGAAGGCCCTTGACTGCAGCTGAGGTCATTAAAGAAGTGATAGACGAAGTGTTCCCTGATGGGCAGGATGAAGGTTTAAACGGGACTGAAGCTTCTGAAGAGGAAACTTACAAATTACCAGAAGGGGTTGTCAATATTGATATTGAAGTAAGGAATCAAGTACTACTAAATAATATTAACTTTTGTTCAAAACTTAAATTCGCTACTGAATCCAATTTTTCTGACAACCTTTTTCGGGTTAAAAGAGGGGGAAGACTTTTTAAGCTTTGAAGAAAAATTGTAAAAAAAAAGTTGAATTTGTAAATTTCTAAAAAATCTTCATTGAATTGCAACTTTAAATTTGGTAGGATGGATTGTATGAATATGCTGCTGAAGTTATAGCTTACCTGAAAGAGAGGGAGAAGGTCCATGTGCTTCCAGTCAATTTTTTGAAAGGTGGATCAACTCATTTCAGTGCAAGAGCCATGCTGGTAGATTGGTTGATTCAGGTAGTTTATTTAATTCTGCTCTAGGATAATTACTTGTTTACTTGAATTACTCTGACTAACCTGAATTATTGTGACTAGTTTCCTTGAATACAGTGACTAGTTTCCTTGAATACAGTGACTAGTTTCCTTGAATACTGTGACTAGTTTCCTTGAATAATGTGACTAGTTTCCTTGAATACAGTGACTAGTTTCCTTGAATACTGTGACTAGTTTCCTTGAATACTGTGACTAGTTTCCTTGAATACTGTGACTAGTTTCCTTGACTACTGTGATTAGTTTCCTTGAATACTGTGACTAGTTTCCTTGAATGCTGTGACTAGTTTCCTTGAAAACAGTGACTAGTTTCCTTGAATACAGTGACTAGTTTCCTTGAATACAGTGACTACTGTGACTAGTTTCCTTGAATACAGTGACTACTGTGACTAGTTTCCTTGAATACTGTGACTAGTTTCCTTGAATACAGTGACTAGTTTCCTTGAAGACTGTGACTAGTTTCCTTGAATGTGACTAGTTTCCTTCAATACTGTGACTAGTTCCCTTGAATACTGTGACTAGTTTCCTTGAATACTGTGACTAGTTTCCTTCAATACTGTGACTAGTTTCCTTAGTGACTAGTTTCCTTGAATACAGTGACTAGTTTTACTGTGACTAGTTTCCTTGAATACTGTGACTAGTTTCCTTGAATACTGTGGCTAGTTTCCTTGAAGTACTGTGACTAGTTTCCTTGAATCACTGTGACTAGTTTCCTTGAATACTGTGACTAGTTTCCTTGAATACTGTGACTTGTTTCCTTGAATACAGTGACTAGTTTCCTTGAATCACTGTGACTAGTTTCCTTGAATACTGTGACTAGTTTTCTTGAATACTGTGACTAGTTTCCTTGAATACAGTGACTAGTTTCCTTGAATACTGTGACTAGTTTCCTTGAATACAGTGACTAGTTTCCTTGAATACTGTGACTAGTTTCCTTGAATAATGTGACTAGTTTCCTTGAATACAGTGACTAGTTTCCTTGAAGACTGTGACTAGTTTCCTTGAATACTGTGACTAGTTTCCTTGAATACTGTGACTAGTTTCCTTGAATAATGTGACTAGTTTCCTTGAATACAGTGACTAGTTTCCTTGAATACTGTGACTAGTTTCCTTGAATACTGTTACTAGTTACCTTGAATACTGTGACTAGTTTCCTTGAATACTGTGACTAGTTACCTTGAAAACTGTGACTAGTTTCTTTGAATTTCTGTGACTACAACGTACCATAACCAAATTATGAAAACCAAAGCTGAGATTTTAAAACCCGCTTTAAGCGTCTATTTAAGTAAAGATCTGAGGTTTTGAATGGCTTGGTCCTGATTGAAACTTGAATTTAAATATCGTAAACTATGATATTTCTACATTTAAAATCCCAGGAACTATTTGCAGTGTCAAAATTGGCTAGATTTATCAAATAAGAAGCAAACTATGGAAATAACGTACAATGTACATTTTTAAAGGTTGAGTTTTCGAAATTTTCACTGAGAAAAGCTGAATATATCAACTAATTATGCAGACAGAGTTTTGAAAGCATCTCTTATCGGTTGAATCTGTACCATTCAGAATCCAGCTATAGACTTAAGAGACTCAAAGGCTTGAGCTTACGAAGGTCGGGCTTAACTTTTAAATTCTCAGCTCAGGCTCTGTATTTAAAAACAGAGAAGGAGGATTAAACTTTTTAATTATTAATGATCGTTTTTTTAAAACTTGAGCTGAAAACTTTAGAATGGTGGATATCGAGATCTATGCTTGATCTCCTGGTTTCACTAACCCCGAGATTAGGTTAATAAGCATTCGAAATCCAAGAAAGAAGTTTAAAATTCAACCCGTCAGCATGTCACGTTTAAAACGCTCCTTAACTTTTAAAAAAACCGTTTTTAATTTAGTACATTTCTGGCCTGATGTCATATCAATTAAACTAATATTCCATTAAACAAACGCAAGTTTTGTATTCATGTTTATCAAAATTCTAAACTAAGGTTATAAATTACTTTAGTTCATAAGTTCATATAAACACAAAGAGAAAAGAATATATATTAGAGTGGAATTTTCTAGAAAAAAGTGTAAAACGTCCATTTTGTTGTACTGTTTCCATACTGCAGGTGTACTTCACATATTTGTGCTATGTAACCTTTTGGGCCCTGGAATATCATTTTATAGAAAATCTAAAATTAATGTTAAAAGAAAACCAAATTATGAAATAGGCTGGTTTCATAATTGACCAATGATCATTTCACATAGACTCTATGCCTTTCACTTTACAAACGATGATTTTCCGTTATAACTATAAATCAAATGATGTTTTTTATTCACCTAATTCATTTATAAAGTTTATTTAACAGCTTTAAAAAATTCGAAATTGAAATGAATAGTCTACAACATACTGTATTAATGTACTCTACTGCATATAATTTGTGAACATTTACATGAATTGTACACTTTGAACTCCCTTTCAGACTGAAAGGGACTGACAAAACTTATACCGAGGGATTGTCTAAATTCCTCTCTAATATATATTCTATTCTCTTCCAAAAAGAGGATTAGGAAGAAAATCAAGTGTGTACCTTGGATACTCAGATTAAGCGATCGGGATTAAGGGCATCCCATTCTTTAGTTTTCAGCTCAGTTCAAACTACCCTTGAAAGTACCATGTGAGACAGACGCTGAACTCCAACCTTCGAGTGTGCGAGGTGGGGAAGACTTCACTGCAGATTTTACTTTTGTACATGACCACTTTTTCAACAATTTTCAATTAAATTAGTATTTATTTAGGGTTAGGTCAAGTTAAGACACAGCGCTGCGGCTAGGTAAGGCTAGGGGGCCGAGTGCTGCGGCCACGGGTTAGGTTAAGTTATGCCACTTTTTGGGCCGAACGCTGCGGCTAGGATTTAATCTCGATCTACACATGTCATCCTCCCTTAATCATGCTTTTAATTAAGCGCGGCAGTGAAGTCTTCCCCACCTCGCACACTCGAAGGTTGGAGTTCAGCATTTGCCTACCATGTGATGTGTTTAGGTTCAACACCATCTCCAGCTATGTCAAGAAACCTTATATCTCACCATTATAATGCTTGATACAGTCTTGGCACAAAGAGATATCAAAAATGACAAATTGCAATTGGTAAAGTTTTTCCATTAATTTATAAAAAATTAAGACTAAATTGTTCAATACATGCAACAGCATTGCAGAGGCGCAACTAGGACTTTTGCTAGGGGGGGGGCAATATATTATTTTGTTAGGGTTTGTGGGGGTTAAGGGGGGGTTTCCCCCCCTTTTTCAAAAATTTTTCAAAAACAAAAGTGCTTTGTTAAGGGTTCGAAGTCGAAAGTTGCATGCAGATTTGGCTGTGTTCTATTCAAATCGATTTTTTGTTCTTGTGTTTTTACAAAATTTATACTTCCATAAGCTGTAAAATGAATGATATGAGTCAATTCATTGAATATGTGTGCGAATCGCAAAAGAGTATTTTTTAAGTACCTGGTTTAATTACAGATTAAATTGCAAGAAATAATCATTTATAGTTTCTGGGAAAAAACATAAAAATACATAGGTAAATAATAATTTCAATCATCTACATTGAAAAAGGACAGAGGATGTTACCTTTTCTCTTGAAGTTATCGAATTAATGATTGATCTAAACAACATTCATAATCTAAATTCATTTTCGATTTTACAGAACTTCTGTCAAAGAAGATAAATCTTGTTAGTTATCAAATATGATAATCAGTTAGAAATTTGCCAGGTTCAGATTTTTCTCTAGATTTGGAACTGATTTTTGCCACAAACTCAAATATTCTAATCCCTAAATCTTTGCACCGAGTGGTGTAAACATTTGATATTTCAAACTTGGAATATTTTACCATAAGAATTCAAAGTTTGATATCTACGAGTACTCTATAAACTCAACACAAATAAAATACAGTTCAGAACTTTTTTTTACATTAAATGTTTACAATGGCCTTTAGCCTTGAGAATTGAGAAAGATAAAAATATTCTTTTTAAAACTAACTATAGTATAATAAAATTTCTACAATAACACTATTGGTTTTCTTATTCCTGTGATACTGATTTTCGCCATTCTTTCTTTCTTTTCATTCTGCAGGGGGGGGGGCGCCCCCCCTCTCAGGTGCTAGGGGAGGGCGCGCGCCCGGCCGCCCCCCCCCCTAGTTGCGCCTCTGCAGCATTGTATGATTTAATAGGTGTTTCAGACTTTAACCATAATAACCACTCTGCCCCCAAGTCTGCATGAAACCAAAAATCATTTGCTTAGGTTGGAGTGACATGTTTGCTACTTGCAAGTAAACTGGAGGAATATTATCCTGCAGATATCAGGAACATGAGCATACAGAATTTCTAGTAGTTTTTTCAGTTGTATGTATAATTTTGCTTTTGATACTAAATTTTTATTTATGTAAAAAAAAATTGCAAAAACTTTGCAATCAGCTTTTTTTTGTGAAAGGTTTTTGAAGAAATATAAAAAGTTTAAGCCCAATGACGGAAAGTGAGTTTTAATATTGATTCAGATTCGTATAGGTAAAACAAGGTATACAGTCATTATGCCTGAGTACTCAGAGGCGATATTAGAGGGAGTGTTTGCGAAAAATGAAAGGGGGTATAGGCTTAATGCGATAAAAAAGCGCTTTTGATCGCTACTTATCTTACTTCTATCTGTTGCGTCTAAGGAGAAAATTGTTAAAAACGACTCACACCGCGATACAAATTCGGAAAGATGCAACATTCAACTCGGATCGTCAATAAATCAATTTAATTCCAAACAAATCATTTAGATATTACAAACAGTAGTTATCGATTATTTTTTGACGCATTCGTATATAGTGAATATTTCATAATATTTTTGGTTTTTTTTAAAAAAATAATTTTCGCTGGCGCTGGATTTTCGAACATTCCTGGAAAACATGAAAATGTCGTCTTCATTATCAAAAATCCTCGAAACAGGAATAAATGTTTTCAAAAAAAACCTCAGATCATGAAAAATACAAGATATTATGAAATATCAACTATTTACGAATGCGTAGAAAATAATCGATGACTATTGATTGTAATATCTGAATGATTTTTTTACGATAGGTTTTATCAATTTTCTCCTTATAGACGCAACAGATAGAAGTAAGATCAGTAGCGATCAAAAGCGCTTTTTTATCGCATTAAGCCTATACCCCCTTTCATTTTTCGCGAACACTCCCTTTAAAGCCCAGCTTTTAGCCTTTATTGAAGGACTAGAGCAGCCTCAGACCAATACTGTTTGAGTTATGTCCAATAAAAGTCCTTAAGCATACTTCCTTCGAATTAGACTTTCACATTCTTAGTCTTAAATCTTTCCAAACAATTTTACTTATATCTTCAATCTTCAACATATAAGTGCCGCAAAGTATGACCAGTTGTTCAACTACAGTAAGCTGGTTCACTTGACTAACGACAGTTACACCAACACCCAGATTGTCAGGATGGAGCTCATCATCATCGATGTCCTGGAATACAAGGTTAACTTCAAGGGACTGCAGACGTAGTTTTGATTTCATTCACAGAGTGGGATGTACGATTCACAACGGTATCCTTGAAGCTTTGTCGGAGATAATCATCGTCTTCTATTTGAAAATTCATTATTAAATTTGTGTTTTTCTATAAAATGACTTATCTGCTTTATAAACTATAGATTAAGTTGTCAGAATTGAACACTTTTAAAGCTAGGAAAACGATGGTATTGGCCACAATATTGATCTGATAAAAGTTATTGGGTACCATTGGGAATCGGGCTTTTAAGTGGAAGCTTACTATAGAAACACGATAGTTCCTGTAGGTGATATTTTGATTAGATGGGTCATATTTTTTATTGATTTTAAATTAACGCAAGTGTTTGGTTCAAAATACGAACATATTCAATTGATTGTAAACCTACATTTTGTTGAAAATCTGTTTTACTTTTTCCCTGAAAAAAATCTGCAACGTGAATTTTAAGTGGAACCAACCATATTTAAGCAGCGGCTTAAATTTAAACCGCCGCTCAAATTCTTTAAATTCGGCCACAGGCTTCCTCTTCTAAATCGGACTGGTTGTCAGTAGTTCAACAAAAGTCTGTAAAATCTACCTTATTTCAAATGTTTTACTTTTTAGAAGTTTATAATTTAAAGTGGAGAAATAATTTTGAATGGTTCTGCCTTTTAAAAGCGAAGAAAAAATCTTGGAAAGATAAAATTTGATCCTCGTCTGGTATTTGGTTTAGTAGAAAGTAGAAACCTAATATTTATGTCCCCTCGTTGTATTTAGTCCGATAGATAGACAAGGTGTAGAGGATAGTCTGGCTGGTATTGGGACAAGGTATAAAAGATAGTCTGGCTGGTTTTGGGACAAGGTATAGAAGATAGTCTGGCTGGTATTGGGACAAGGTATAGAAGATAGTCTGGCTGGTATTGGGACAAGGTGTAGAGGATAGTCTGACTGGTATTGGGACAAGGTATTGAAGATAGTCTGGCTGGTATTGGGACAAGGTGTAGAGGATAGTCTTGCTGGTATTGGGACACAAGGTATTGAAGATAGTCTGGCTGGTATTGGGACACAAGGTGTAGAGGATAGTCTGGCTGGTATTGGGGCAAGGTATAGAAGATAGTCTGGCTGGTATTGGGACACAAGGTATTGAAGATAGTCTGGCTGGTATTGGGACAAGTTGTATAAGATAGTCTGGCTGGTATTGGGACAAGGTATAGAAGATAGTCTGGCTGGTATTGGGACAAGGTATAGAAGATAGTCTGGCTGGTATTGGGACAAGGTGTAGAGGATAGTCTGGCTGGTATTGGGACAAGGTATTGAGGATAGTCTGGCTGGTATTGGGACAAGGTGTAGAGGATAGTCTGGCTGGTATTGGGACAAGGTATAGAAGATAGTCTGGCTGGTATTGGGACAAGGTGTATAAGATAGTCTTGCTGGTATTGGGACAAGGTATAGAAGATAGTCTGGCTGGTATTGGGACACAAGGTATTGAAGATAGTCTGGCTGGTATTGGGACAAGGTATAGAAGATAGTTTGGCTGGTATTGGGACAAGGTGTAGAAGATAGTCTGGCTAGTATTGGGACAAGGTATAGAAGATAGTCTGGCTGGTATTGGGACAAGGTGTAGAGGATAGTCTGACTGGTATTGGGACAATGTATTGAAGATAGTCTGGCTGGTATTGGGACAAGGTATAGAGGATAGTCTGGCTGGTATTGGGACAAGGTGAAGATAGTCTGGCTGGTATTGGGACAAGGTATAGAAGATAGTCCGTGATATTGTGTCTGTGTTCAGACCAAACGCAAGAATATTTATGTTGCTTCTAAAACAAGTTTGTACAGGGTAAATTTGATATCAGAATCCTATTTTATCTTATTTTTTCTAAAAATGAGGGAGGACATTAAGGCCTGCCTTGTAGCCATTAATGTATCTTGGTCTGCATGCAAATTTTAGACATTCGTCAAAAATGTCAATTTAAGTATTATTTTTGCAATTTTTTTGGATAAGAAAATCAAATAAAATATTTTTTCTGATATTTTTGATATTTTAGTATTTGATTGACTCTGCCATAGTCGAAGTATCTTTCTCCTCCACTCTGCCATCCATACAGGTAGAAAACTTCCAGTCCATATGTAGGAAACTTCTGGATAAGTAACAGGAAATTTCTTGTTTATTGGTAGAAAACTCATGGGTAACTGTTAAGAAACCATGGGTAACTGTTAAGAAACCATGGGTAACTGTTAAGAAACCATGGGTTACTGTTAAGAAACTTCTGGTTAAAAGGTAGGAAACTAGGTTTTCTGACAGGACACTTCCGGTCATAGGTAGGATACTTCCGGTCAGTAGGTAGGAAACTTCTTGTTTATAGGTATAGGAACTTCGAGTTAACTGGTAAGAAACTTCTGGTTAAAAGGTAGGAGACTTTAGGTTTTTTGGCATGGCACTTCCGGTTGTAGGTAGGATACTTCCGGTCAGTAGGTAGGGAACTTCTTGTTTATAGGTATAGGAACTTCGAGTTAACTGGTAAGAAACTTATGGTAAATAGGTAGGGCAATTTTAGTCAATAGGTACAAAACTTTCTCGGTAATTAGCTCTTAATAGTTCTTATTCTTTGACTGAACATGTAATTTGCTCTATAAACATGTTTCATATCTTTTAAACTTGTCTAACAGTAATAGTTTTCCCAACACTTCGATGTCTCCTTTATTGCTTTTTGATCTATTGCTTTTTGCCTTGTTGACTATTTTCTCTATACCTTTATAGCCCTTTTATTGCTTTATTTAACATTGGCTTGTTTAGTTATCACGTTCTTTGCTCATTATTAACTATTAAACGTACGGTAAATAGGTAGGAAACGTACGGTCTCACAGTTGGAAACTTCCGGTCAACTAGAAGGAAAATTTCAGGCTCTAATTTTCACTGCAATCATATTCACCTCTCAAGCCTAACTACAGGTGTGCTTTGTGGCGATAGTTGATTTCTACCCACTTGGAACTCTTAGCTCACACTGAACCAGACAGTAAGAGATGGTTAAATGTATGCGACGTTAGTAGGACGCTTTTGTGACCTCGTAGAAATTCTCATTAGAAATTCAAAAACATATTTTTTCTTCTCATCAGCTCTTCAATAAGATGAGTTATGATTGAAAACATAACAGATTTCAATCATCCGTGCAATTAACTTTAATTTGACGTGAGCTGAGAACTTTTGTTGAGACCTGTATAACTGTAGAACTGTTGAAGTGAGTTTCCTCTTCTGGAAAAGTTACTAGTTATTTAGTTCAATTAATGTTTACTCAAGGCTGCTGCTGGGGTGCTTGCTGCTAATCTTCTGTTCTACCTCATGATTAACAAGGTAGATTTAATTTTATGTCTTTAAAATATTTAAATAATAATTGTAGAAATGCGATTTAGTCTCCATTTAAATTGTATAGTACTGCTTCAGATATATTTAACTGTCATGACTCATGCATGGGAAATAGTGTGATATTGCATGAGAGAGATATCATAATGTACAGAATTAGATATATGATACTGCGGAAAAAGATCTATTGTATTGTACTTACTGCAACTAAAATATACATAAAAATTTGCATTAAAAAAGAAAAAAAATCGATAAATCCATGTAAATTGTTGTGTTTTTGTTTCATAAATTACGATAATTTACCTCAGATAGAGCAACAATTTAAAAGTTAAAATCATAGATGGGCGAGAAGCGAAGCGCCCTGGATTTGGAATCCTAGTATGATATAATGAACTGTATTGGATTAGATGCATTTTTCTGTACTTGACTAGATATTGTAGCAGCAATAATTCGAGTCTAAATGAATCTTAAAATATTTTGTTTTAACTGCATAAGATATATTGTACACTACTGCAGCAGATTAATTTAACTGTACTGGAAAAGCGCGTACATATAAGGGGGGGGGGGCAGTAGTCCTTTTGCCCCCCCCCCTCCCTGGGATTTATGGGCCAAAGTTAAAAGCAGGTGTGTGTAATGAGCTTGCCCTCATCTTCAAAGGGGTGTTTTCCTTTTAAAAGTAGTTGAACATTTTCATGTGTTTGGCATGTCTACCCGCAACCCCATTGAAGGTCAGGGGATATTACATTAGGAGAGGATTAAGGGTGAATCAAGAGGGCGGAAGACTAATGATAGTCTTCATAAGACTACTCAGGACTTGAGAGAGTAATACAGAACGATACAGAAGGGTTATTTTATAATAAATAGTCCTTAAATCAGTACTACAGTGGACTACAAAGGGGAGTAGTTTCCTATCGAAATTTCAGGCAAACTGGCTTAGGTTCTCAAAGGCGTTTTTTCGGGGAGGGGACAAGTTNAGTGAAATCTAAGATTTTTGGGTTTTTTCTTGGGTTCCAATGGGTAGCCCCCCTCCCCTGGACAAATTCGTGAATACGCCCCTGACTTTTCTGCATTATCATTATATTTGTTGTACTGTTCTGCATTATATATAATTTTCTGCAGGATTTCCCTGAGGATAGATTAGTATGGACTCCAACACTTGAACACTTTACTGAATACAAGATTCATGATCTGGCTCCTTCAGCAGAAATTATGATCAGGTACACATAGTGATGTGCATTAAGTTGGTTTGTTTTAATTGTTTTAAATGTTCTTGGAATGTTTCTGATTTAAAAACTTTTGAATGCGACTTTTTGTGAACACTGAACAGTTCATTGTCTGAAATCAATGTACTTTTGTGAGATCTGTTAAAGATATCTTTGGTCAATTGAAAATCATCAATTAAAATGAAAACGAAGTTTTGCTGTGTAAACAAATTTGACAAACTGAAAAGAGATTTTTAGATCCCGGCCCATTTTTACTAGCTTGAGAACCAAGCTTTGATTTCAGTTTGCCCTTTAAAAGTCAACCCACTTGAAACTTAGAATAGTTCCACGTTAAAAATTTGAGGCATATCGGCAATGGTTATATTTGGACGTCCAAACAAACAAACAAACAGGCAGGCAGACAGAGATTACTACCTTACTTATTAAGAATCCAGGATCTTGCATTTTTTACTTT